CCAATCCGGCATTACATATAAGAGGTGCAACAAGTGGGATAGTCGTAGCTTGCTGGGGAACGGCTCCCTGTCCAAAGGCAAGTCACGGTTTTTCGTCAGACCAGGTATCACTGCGACGACGATCTTCAATAAGTTGGACGTCATATCATCAACGAAGGCCTTTTTCCAAATATTTCTTCATAATCGTAGTAGCTCCGTGGGGCGCAAGAGGTGATCGAGACAAGATCCCCGCTTGTAGGCCAGCCATTGGTCAATCGAAAGCGCTTATGGTAAGCGTGGAAACACACCAGAAAGTCAAAACAATCGAATCGCACGCGCGAGTTCTTGAATCGTCGGTACAACATTGATTGGTCCTCGACTAGCTTGAAACCATATGGGGCGAGCTGTTCAGCCGAGTCTCGTATAGTAAATGGATAACGTCTTCAGTAATCTCCCCTTCCGTCAGGTCGCATATAAAAATCTCTTTGAATTTGACGTTCAGCGGCTTGTAACTTCCAGTTGTGCGACCGTCCATAGGTGAGGCCAACTGAGCGCCAGCTCGTCGGCACGAAGCCCCCTGGAAACTCGCAATTCGCGGGAGATATAGCGTGCAATGTCGAGACTTTGGCACCAGTTCAAGAGCGGACCCCGTAGCGCTTATCGTGGAGATATCGATGAGATCCGCAATGGTCGAACAGAAAAAGACCACCATCAATAACTGCGACGGCGGCAAAGTGCCGTCGGCTTTTGCAGACGAGTTCCCAGTTCGTCCGGCTGGTCATCGCGAATTTGAGGAGCACATCGATGTTATGGCCGAGGTGGTAGATGAACAAACGCTTCACGAAGGATGGCAAGCTTTGGAAGAAGTCGAATGGCTGAAAGCCAAAGCCATTGCCTGTGTGCGTGGAAAGTCGGTTATAGCTGGGGAGATAGAAAGAGATAGCGAGCCACAGAGAGAGAGAGAGAGAGAGAGAGAGAGAGCGGGGGGAGAGAGCAAGTTATAGTGAGTGAGAGAGGGTGTGTGAGATGATCTTGCGTTACCTCCTCGGGTTGAATGGGTTGAATCTCGCTTTTGAAAGACGGGAAACTGATCCGCGGCATTTTGAAACCACTTCGGGGCAGCTCGAAACCTTGCTTTCTCTGAAACGGGGGTGCTGCGAGTAGGCTGAGAATTTCTGGAATTTTCTAAACGAGTCAAAAATTCAATCGCTAGTATTTATTAGCTGACCGGTTTGTTGAAAAATATTTTCAAGCGGATTCTTACCTTAGAGCGCCGGATTGCTGAGGAATCATCGTCGCCATCGAGGCCAAGCTCCATGAAATTGTCGATTTCAGGCTGTACCTCGAGGTTGTTCATTACCTGAGATATTGTTCAATCGTTTATATTTAAAGATACGATAAAGCAAAGAGCGTTAAACACAAGGAACGTGTCCATCAATTGATGTCCGATCGTGAACGAAAGGAAACCGAAATCAGCGCGCAGATGTTTTCGTAATTTCCATCTCCTGGCGAGTGCCGGGCGGTTAAAAGTTGCAGAATGTTGCTCAAAGAACCATTTGAATTCCATTGATCACCCAGTAAACACTAATGCTTGCATGGTTATATGCTTCAGCGACTTCTGGCTACTTTTTTTACTTCATACGATCGCCAATTCCTGCGCAGTGATCTATAGAGTTACCAAGGTTTGGATCTTCAATTTCGGGGAGGCAATGAAAAGTTAATGATTGTTATGCTGTTCTCAGGGAATTTTCTTTTTTTTCGGTTGGTTGCGATATTGCAAATTGCATTTGCATTATTGAGTCTAAAGCGTTTATTAGCAAGCGAGAAATCCGGCCCTACGAGCAGAGCAAAAAGCAGGATAGTCGCGGGTTTTTATGGAAAATCTCCCATCTGAAGGACGGAAGTCACGGTTTTCCCCGTCGGACCGGGTAATCACCGCGAGACGATTTTCAATAAATTGGACGTCATATCCAACGAAGGTATTTTTCCAATCATCCGCATGGTTGTCGATGTCGCGCCATTGGGCGCAAGAAGTGATCAAGAAAAGATCCCGCTTGTAGGCCAGCCATTCGTCAATCAAGCGCTTATGGTAAGCGTGGAAACCCCTACCAAACGACCAGACATAGCGGAATCGCACGCGCGTGTTCTTGAATCGTCGGCAAAGCATTCGCTTTTGCTCGACTGGCGGAATTTCATAGGCGATCTGTTCCGCCGAGTCTCGTATAAAATTGATCACGTCCTCAGAAATTTCCTCTCTCGTCGGGTCGCTTAGCAAGATCTCTTTGAATTTGACGCTCAGCGGCTTGTAACTTTCTAGTTCTGCGGCCGTCCAAAAGTGAGGCCACTGGAGCGCCAGCACGTCGGCACGAAGCCCCGGAAAGTCACAATTGCCGGGAAGACCTGGGTGCAGCGTAGTGACTTCAGCGCCGTGCAGGAGCGGGCCCCAGAAGCGCTTATCGTGGAGACTTCGTTCAAACCCGCAATGCTCCAATAGACAGACGTCACAGCCCATTAGTCTAACCGTGGAAAACTGGCGTCGACTTGTGCAGACGAGTTCCCAGTTCTTCCGGCTCGTTTGCGCGAATTTGATGAGGTCCCGGCCGAGGTGGGAGAAGAGCGTACGCGTCACCACGGATGGCAAGCTTTGGAAGAACTCGAGTCGCTAAATTAAATTAGGTTAAATTATAGATTCGGTTAGATTATATTAGTAAAGATAAAAAGACAGAGCGAGATAGAGAGAGAGAGAGAGAGAGAGATAGAGAGAAATGGTGAGAGATAGGGAGCGAGGGTATGTGAGATGATCTTGGACTTACCTCCTCGGGTTGAAGCTGGCTTTTGAAAGTCGGGAAGCTGATCCGTGCCATTTCTGAAACCACTTCGGGCAGCTCGAAATCTCGCTTTTTCTGGAAAGGTGGTACCGCGAGAAGGCTGAGAATTTCTGGGCTTTCTGAACCACCTAAAAATTCAATCGCCGGTATTTATTAGCTTACTGGTTTGTTGAAAGAGATTTTTAAGAAAAATTCTGACCTTGGAGCGTCCGTTTACTGAAAAATCATCGTCGCCATCGAGGCCAAGGTCCATGGAATTCATGAGTTCAGGTAGTATATCCGGCTTGTCCATTTCCTGAAATGTTGTCCAATCGTTGTTATTCAAGGATTACATCAAGCAAATAGCGCAAACACGAAAATAGTATCCATCAATCTGTGTCCGACCATGAAAGCATGGAAATCGAAGTCAGCGCGCAGATGGTTTGGTGATTTCCATCTCCTGGCGAGTGCCGGGCTTTCAAAAGTTGCAGAATGATCCTCAAAGAACCATTTGAATTCCATTGACCCCCAGAAACACTAATGATTGCATGATTATATGCCTTCGCAAACGAAAAATAAAAAACGCCTCCTTCTGCCAGTTTATATAGTGGTCCCTCACTTCCGTAACATGCTAATTGCCCCTTAACAAAGGGGTGCCCGGGATTTTCACAAAAAATTCTGTTGCCCTAAACTCGCTGCCCTAAACGACTTCCCCTGACCCGCCTTGGGGTTAGAAAGCCTGACGGAGGTTTCATGCAAAAGCACACAAAAACACAAGCACTAGTTTTTATATATATCAGGTTGGAAGGTAAGTCCTGTCGCCGAAATTTTGGAAGGCTGGTTTAAAATCGTAGATAGCTAATCCGAACATGCGATATGTCATTTTGTAGCTGTTGGGCGAACCGTTTCGGGACAAGGGCTGGGTCCTCAAAATCAAAAACGCGCGGGATACAGGCCTAAGAACATTTTTCAAAAATTACGCAAAAGTGTTTTTGCAAGTTGTCTCTGCATGGATCAATTTGCATGCGGTACCATTAACGCCAATCGATAGCGCTCAAGGAGCAGATATCGCTAGATGTTGAGATTATTAAAATTGGACACTGGATGGCGGAGATAGGGCCCCTTGAAATTTGGCCCATTTCTTAGAACTTTGCCCGGTTTGCCATACATACATACCCTTAACTCTTTCACTTATCGAGATACGACTGGAACATACGGATAGAAGGTGCATGCAAATGCACACACACACACACAAACATCTTTTTTCTATAGTAGGAAGTAGGATCTATTCATTACGTTTATTTATTAGAAGAACACTCATCCCCGCTTCTTCTCATAAATATGCTACATTTTACGATATCGATGCCTCCTATTCTAAACCGTTTTTGACGAAATTACAAGCTACGTATCGATACGTATCTGTACGTACCACGGAAAAAGGTTTTTAGCAACCATTGGGCAATTGTCGGCAATCTTTCACGATCGATGGGCGGGATCGACGACGACTGTGCGCCCCCATCTTTGCTGCAAAGGAATTTTTCCGTCTTAATTTGTGGCTTCCACTGACATACTTCATTTAAAATTCGTCTGACAAATTACTACTCTTATTTTGTTATGGATATCTTCACCGGCATTTTTGAGTGTCAGAAAACCGGTGTTTTATTGTCTAAACTTCCCTAGACCCCTTTCTCCACGGCCATATAACAAAGTATAGACCAGTTTTGCATAGTTCTAAAATATAACACTCATAAGAAAATCAAAATTTGACCTTTGAGTGAAAAACCATATGAAAAATAGTAAAAAATTCACAACATTTTTAAAAATATTTTTGATAACTTCCCAGCAAAGAAAGACTACTAAAACCAACAGAATAATTCACGACATTATGTTTCATCAGCAGGAAACGTGGAAAAAATAAAAAGGGGAGTCCCCGCCCAGCTCAATCCCCCGCCCCACTAACGTTCAGAACCGATGATGTCTAGGGACTATGAAATACTTTGTTCCTTTTTCGCGCATACCCTACCACAACCCATTACCATTTCAGAAAATCGCAAATGGACTTCCGGGGGCTGCCGAGTGTGGTGCAAGATCGTATTCTTCGAAACATAATGCACCTTGGTGAAAGAAGCGACGAGACTGCGGTACGAACGCTCTTCGAATTTGCCCTGGCCAGCAAGACATGCTGGCGGCTGGTAGAGGAAATGCCGGGCAAGCGCTGGGAAAAGAATATAATGCACGGTAACAACGGCACCTTCCTGTACTGGGGCTACCCAGACGCTCAATTCGGACAACGCACATTTCGCCTCCTTTTCGGAGACTCCACCATCGACTCGCTGCTGCTGTTCGAGGACGGTGTACTTCCTAGCGTCAAAGCTGAACATATCTTGGTGAGTTTCGTTTATTCCAGATATCTTACTAACAGGGCTTCTACTCTTACTAACACGTTTTTAGTGACAATCGGTTTCGGAATCGACCAAGCCTGCCTTTTGCGGAATTTCGCGTTCATTTCGAACGTGTTTTCGAAATCTGCCAAACGGCATTTTCTACAATTTCCCATAGTAAAATCGAAGTTTTACAATTAAATTTTTTTCACCTTTTGAAAATGTTGTGTTAGTAGAATCATTCGAAAGATAAAACGTTTCTGAATAAGGTGTAATGCTCGTTTTCCCGTAAACTGCCATACACACCAGAATAATCGATTCCGAAATCCCACGATTTTGACTGAAAGATCGCCCTAAACCTGTAATATCTCGAATTTAAAAGCTTTGTAGCAAATTCGGAAAACGAGGTGTGGATCAGTGTCGCCGATGGCCTCTGTGTGCAAATTTTGAAAAAGTCCTGGGCTTGGGAGGTTTTTTGGACTTCTCTAGTTAGATAGAGGTTTGATAAGTTATTTTTGCAATCAGGTGTTTAAATATCTAATCCTAACTTCCCTTTTTTTGCAGATCGAGTATCCTGAGGACGATATGCTGCAGGTTCTGAAGCGGCACAAACCACACGGCGCAAGCTATTCGGTGGCTGAGATCTGGGACATGCTCCCGGATGCCGGGTTGATACAATGGTTGAACGATAACACCCAAAACTGCCAGCTCAGGCTCCGGAGACCGGCGGCTCCGCTATGGAATTATATTCAGCTCAAGCATGCATGGATAGAGGTCCAGGTCGACGACCAGATAGACGGAGAAGAAAACCTTGACGAGGTCCAAAATCGGTGGATCGAGGAGTGGCAGGCTGGGGAACGTGAATGCGAAGTATTCTGCCTACAAAGGCTGGACTACCGTCGCGGTCGGACATATATTGTAACCGGATATGAATCTGAAGACCATATGCCGCCACGATATGGCAATGCGAAAGAATTACGGAGGGGTGATGGCCGATTTATCAGGGCACGAACCAACGGTAAGTCAAATACTATATGTAAAACACGGATACGAGCGCCCAAGAACCCGCAAGGGTTTGTTTTGGGGGCTGATTTTCGAGTGCGTTCGATTAATCTAAATTTTTTTTAGAATCACCCGGCCGCTACCGAGCTCCCTCAAGTTGAAGCCGCACAGCTTGACGTGCTATGATCTCACTTTCAACGTCATGGGTGTCGATTGTCACGTGGAGCAGATAATCTAAATTACCAACCTGGCTGCTACACCCGTTAGTATAGATAAATAGATGAATAAGACTCTTACCACAGTATAGATGAATAAGGTTCTTACCACTGATATTAGCCGGCGGCCCTACTTAATGGCATATTTGCTAAAAGAAATTATGCTAAGACATTCTGCTCTTGTGAAGATAAACGGCTTGATAAATCAATTTGTTCAAAAGCCATATCTACTAAGATATTTGCAATGGATTTATGAATAATGTATACAATAAAGCAATGAATAAAACAGCTTCCACGCTTCGTTACACAGCTTATCAGCTGGACAATTAGTGGAAATTAATATTATAATTATTTATAATATGAAACAATATTATGGTCATTACAAAAAGGGAGCACAGCTGAGCTAAATTAGCCAAATCCATTGATTCATTCATTAAAATATATCCGTTACGCCACGTTATTAAAAGAGCACCTTGTATGTCTTCTCATCAATGCGCCAAATTTCGTTCGATGAAAGTATTTCGAAGCCTCCTATCCTGAACCCTTTTTGACGATCTTACAAGCTATGTATGGATACGTATCAATACGTATTGCGGCAAAAGGTTTTTAGCAACCATTGAGCAATCGTCCGCAATCCTTTCCGATCGATGAGCGGGGCCGAAGATGACTGTGCGCCCCCCATTTGTGTCGCAATACAATTTCTGGCGTATTAATTACTATTTTCCACTGTCATCCCTCATTTCAAATTTGTCTGCCGTATTTATACTCTCTCTTTTTTTACGGAGCTTTTGATCGGCAGCATCTTTACGTCGCTTACGCCTAAATCCGATTCGCTTCAAAACCGTTTTTTTTGCAAGGAATTTCTAGAGTTTTGTTTGTAAAATAATAAAACAATCCCAAACTTCGAAAATGGCGATTTTTTTCGTCCATACAGCAGCGACAACGGTCAAAAACTAGCCGAAATGGGTTTAGGCGAACTAGACGCCACCCCCTGATGACCCCATCGATTTGCGTTTCAGAGAATTAAAATGGACTTCCTGCGTCTGCCGGTTGAGGTGCAGAATCAAATTCTTCAAACGATGATGCTGCTTGGTGAGAGACGGGACGAGACTGCCGTACGAACAGTCTTCAAATTTGCCCGGGCCAGCAAGGCATGCTGGCGGCTGGTCGAGAAAATGCCGGGCAAGCGTTGGAATAAGACCTTACTCCACGATCATGGCGGCACCTACCTGTACTGGGGCGAAAGACGGGCTCCACTTCAACTAAGCACATGCCGCCTGCTTTTTGGCGATTCTACAGTCAACCGGCTGCTGCTATTCAAAGCTGGAATGCTTCCTACCGTCCGGGCGGATTCGATTTTGGTGGGTTTGCTTCACTCAGCGATCTTGGATAGAGATTAGTTAAGCTACAGAGTGTCCCAAAAAAAAGCGTCGAAAAGGCGAGAAAACCAGTATTTTTCGTTTTTCAAGATAGGTGTTTGAATTTACGAATTTTAGAATGATCCGTGAAAACCGCAGTTTCTAAGCAAAATCTGCATGTTAATTTCTTGCGAAAGCAAACAGGACGATGCTGATTTTACGCTTTTTTAAGAAATCGTTGAATCTCGAGCACGGGCTAGAAAATTTTGCAAAACGAAAAGCGCTTGTTTTCTCGCCTTTTCGAGCGCGTTCGAGTCGTGTGAAAATCATCCCAGTCTGACCTTTCTCCGGACCGCTAGACGGCGTCGATTTTTTGGGACACTTTGTTTATGTCAAAATAAGGCTTTAGAAATAGCTGTACGTACCTTTACCTTTTTTCAGATCGAGTACCCTGTCGACGACATGCTGCAGGTACTGAAACAGCACAAACCACGCGACGCAAGCTATTCGGTGGCCGAGATTTGGGACTTGCCCCCGAATGCAAACTTAATACAATTCATGAATGATGAGCTGAAAGACAGCCAGCTTGTGCTTCGTCGACTGACGGCACCGCTAGGGAATTACCTTAAGCTCAAGCATACGTGGATAGACGTACGGGTCGACGACCGGATAGACGGGGAAGAAAATCTCGAGGCGGCCCAGAATCAGTTGATCGAGGAGTGGCTAGATGGGGAACGTGAATGCGGGCAGTTCTGCCTACAAACTGTGATGGAGCATCGCGGTAGCACATATATCGTGACCGGATATGAATCAGAAGACGATGCCCCACCACTACACGACGATGAGAAGGGAGTAACGAGGGAAGATGGACTATTTATAAGAATCACTTATCTTCGGCCCTATTGAAACAGTCGTATAATCGTAAGACCTTGACGTATACGGGTACCGTACTTTCTCTAATGTAACCTGGTTATTTCCAAGGTAATTTTTTTGCATTAATCTAGAAACCTTAGTAACTTAATAGGACGTATTTTTGTATGGTTTTTAGTAAGATAAATCTATATTTTAATTACGAAAACTCTCGAAAAACTTTGAAAATTGTTTTCAAAAACCCGAAATTTTGGCCAAAAAACGCCATTTTTGGTCCAAATATCGAGATTTGTGTTTTCTTCATAAAAATTTCTAAAGTTCTCACATTTAGGAATAGTAAAAAAAAGTTTCAAAAATGCTTCAGCTAATAATTAAAAAAAAATTGATTCCTAATACGGCAATTTTCCTCCCCCCCCCCCGATAATGCGAAAGGGCCGAAAATTCTTATGATTAACCTTTTTATAGGCTGGCGAATACGGTATTGACTCCCAAATTGTTTAAGACTCTCCATGTAATTGGTTCTCCTTTGATCCTGTTTTGCCTTTCGAAATATTTGAGGCTTTCAAAATCCCGAAAATTTTGATGCCGGCTCACCCTCGCAATATTTGTTGCTCGATTATATCCGAAAAATTTTTCTGTTTGAAGCTCAAATTATAATTCACACTATGGTTCCCAATTCGACTGCCACACTTTCCTTTTTCTCAAATTTGTTTGTGTGAAGTTGTCAATAAAATTTGATTTCCGGATAATGGACTTCCTCGCGCTGCCCACCGAGATCCAGCATCGCATCATCAGACTTCTCGATATGGAAGATCTACTCAACGTTGCGCCAGCGAGCAAGCGGATGTGGCAAGTTGTCGAGTGCGCCCCCGGAAAATATTGGGACGGCACCTTGCTATGGGCAGATGGCCGAGAGTATGTCTACGGGAAATACGGTGATTACCTTGTACGACTCATGTACGAACCGACCCTCCGAATGCTTTTCGCGAATTCCACGGTGCAGGAGCTATCGGTGACGCGAACTGATGCGCCACCCTTCGAAATAAAGGCCCAGCGGATTAAGATATCCTCTAGAGTCGAGTACCGACTGCAAGTTTTGGTGAACCACCGGCCGGCCGGCACCAGGTATCGAAAAGTGGTGATTACCGACCTCACGCCGAACCCGTGGCTTATCGAATGGCTGAACGAATATGCGGATGAGGTTCAATGCACGTAAGTAGCACCGTTACAGAAATTCCTTGTCGCTTTCAGTTTAATCGGGGGTGGGGGGTGGGTTAACGGGGGAATGCCACTGTTTCCCCCAGTAATTTACGGATTTATAACGAAATATAAACTATTTTTTAAGTTGTTTACAATTTTTAAATTTATTTTAAATTATCTTAGATTTATTATATTTACTTTTAGATATCAAAAGTTTTGTAAAAAATGTAAAATGTATGAAAATTTTGGCTTTTTGGCAAAAAATTAAGATAAATGACCAAGAAAGGTCGAAAATTTCGATTTTTGAAGTTTTTTGAAATTTTGTATAGCGTTTGAGCAATCAAAAAAGAATAAAAAATACCAAAGCGTTATGAAAATACACTATTTATTATCAGCAGCTAGGCGAAGAAATAAAAATTAGCTCCTCCCCCCCCCCCCCTATTCTAATTAATTCACTAATTGGATGCCCATTATTGAGTGTCGTGCGCAGAGTATAAAATGGAACCTTTTAGGATCGCCTCGCCGCTGCCGCGCTATCTCCAATTGAGGCCGCAGAGGTTGACTTTATGGCCATCCACTTCCGATGACATGAATCTCGATCGCTACCTGATGCTGATAATTGAGGAGTGGCTAAAATTGGGGAAATGCTTTCATTCAATTGAAATTGCCAACCCTCATGCCATCCCTGTTTCTATAGACAAATTCCGCAATTATCCTGCCGAAATTAAGCAAAGACTATATGTTAATAGCGATATATTCGTTAACAGAAACGACGGGAAATCGTTATGGATATGTGAATATGACGATCATCGCTGTATTAAGATCCAAATCATTGGCGCTGATGTGATAAATTCAATAAAATAGTGAGGACGACGTTATTATGTATGTAAAATTTTGCAAACCAAGTGAATATACGATACATTACGCAATGAAAATTACCGTATTCGGTTACGCTAGACTACACCACGAGCCGAATTACGCTGCCTTTCCCTTCCGCCTTCGACCCCATTCTTTCGATTGTTACACAGCAATTTGCTTGAACTTGATAGTTTCCTTATTTCGCGATATTTCTACATGTGTGAAAACGAAATAAATATTTTGATAGAAGGTTTACGTTTCAGGCAATCAGGGCAGAGAAACATCCATGATAATAAGTTTTTCATGGCGCCCGCAACTTTGGAACTAGCTTATCCGCTTTTTTTGTAGTATCCCGTTCCTAATTTCTACACTACTTTATAACCTTAATTTTTTACACCATGAACAGCAGGAAAAAGTGTCTTTTGCCTTCAATAGCTTGGGTGTATAATTTCTACATGTTTTCCCTTTCCGACGTGTTCTCTCTAATCTTTTTCTAATCGCAACTTTTCAGGCAATGAACTTCCTCGACGTTCCCTTGGCCTGCCAATACAAGGTTCTCAACTTCCTCGACTCGAAAAGCTTTTGAAGCTCTCCTCGACGAGCACCTACTGCCGGACCTTGGCCAAGAATTGCCCTCGGAAATTCTTTAACGCTCGATTCGAAGAGTACTCTGGCAACAAATGCGGTTTTATGGTTCAAGAGGAGAGCGGCTGGCGCTCCTACGATGTTCCCTGGGCAAATTTGGAGTTTTTGCTGCGCGACGCGGTGCTCTTGTCTGTAAGTATTTCTGAAGGGAAGCTCCCTGACATCAACCTTCGAGCTCAATACCTCACCATGGTCGGTAGCGAGACCAGGCCTGCAAAGTTAATGGAGATTTTCAAGCGCTACAAGGAAGCCAATCGAAAATATGAGGGCGTGATGCTTTGGGGCTTACCTGCCGAGGAGAATCTTATGGCTTGGTTGAACGAAAACGCAAATCGCGTCACAGCAGGCCTCCTAAGCCTTCCACATTCAAAGTATACCGTACTGAAGATGCCAAAGCTCTACCTACAGCTCCAACATGATGCCGAAATCCAGACGTATCTGGGGATTGTTATCGACGAATGGACAAGAAACGAGCGGGAGATAGAGGATGTTTATATTGGGAATATCCCTATCCGGCCGGATCTTAAGTTTTTTGAGAAGCACACCAATTTTATTTCCGGAGGTGGCAAAGGTGAAGTACGATTCGGGAGCGTCGATGGAAAAGTGCTGCGACTGAAGCTCGAAACTGATGAACGCGGCTCGTTTATAACGATGGATATGTTCGGAGGAGCTTAATTTTTGGGTGTAAATAAACATTATTTGTTAGGTTTTTTATCAATAGCTGCTAATCAACCAGTCTGTTGTATAGATACAGGATAAGCACATCAAAAATTTATCTTTGTCCTGTAGGGGTTAGCTTCAGCGTTACGAACAAGAATAATAGTGATTTTACTGTTTGAAAGGAGGCAATTTTGCAAAGTCTAAAAAAATTATAGGCACATTTCCTTCCCAGTGGTTGCATCAATCCAGTCACAGTAGAGGGCGATTTCTGGCCCTTGGACTAAAAATAAACGTTGCAGTTCAGTAAAAAACCACGATGGATAGGAAGCCTGAGATCATTCCTGGATTGCAGGCTTACTTGTAGTATCCGGTGTTTGGCAATCTTCGTCTCTAAGACGGGCAATCAAGCTCACTTGAACATAATACCGGTTCCCGTCGCGCGCCAGCGCATAGGTCGTGATCGGGCCCCCGGTGTCTCCCTGAAATTGTTAGAAAGGAGCAGGTCTGCCTTTTCCGGATAAATGGATATTGGATAAAATGGTAACGTTATAGAAACGGAAGGACCTACCCGACAGGGACTGGAAGATTTGTTTCCGCCATCAAAACACTGTGTCCGATGGCCTTCTTTCCGATATTACACTGTCCGCGCGGGAAGCATTTTTGCGTCATAGCCACGCAGTCGAGGCTCATACTGATCGCCACCTAAAATTAGGCAGGGATTGCGAACTTCGGTCCTGATTAGCGGCATAAAATCTTAAGTGCTACCAGGGGTTGAAAGCCGCTTCGCGACTTTTCAACGCTGGCCCCGTCTGATCCCATGATATTCGTTACTTTGCATGTTCTCATGTTTTTCGACGACAAAAATGAGAAACGCTACCTCTTTCCCTTATATAAGCTCCCACAACATCCGGCGTATGCTAATTGCTTCCTAACAAAGAGGGTCACCGATTTTACAACAAAAACTTAATTTTAACGTCGAAAACAGCGACTTTTTGAAAATTTTATTAGTGTGCAGTCATCCCAAGGCCATTACGCACCTAATGACGTATAAAACATACCCCTAACTACACCCCTTATTGAGATACTGCTGGAACACGCTGACGGAAGTTGCATGCAAATGCACATACATACATACACACACACAGGAACTATTTTTTTATATATAGTAGGATTGGGGTTTTTTGAATCCAAAGGTATCTACCGTTCGCTGACGCAATTCCCCAACCGAGAATATGCACTGCAATCCACGCATGCATTCGTGGTGTCCGCCATAACAACGCCGGCTGCACGTGAGTGTCCCAACTGAATTTTCCTCGCAACTGCAACGGCTCTTTCTGTCGTCAAAACCTATCAGCAAACCTTGATCACCGATATATTATCGTCGATGCCTGACGGCTTCCAATTTTGGTGAATATAAGCCTTGTCAACCGCAAGGCGTTGCTGCAAATAGGCAATTTGACACAAGGTGCTTTTGATCGTATTCTTGCGATTCTAAACGCTAATCAAATCGATTCTCACTTCCGTTGGGCCTGGAGGGCTCTTTGTGCCGTTTATCCAAACAGTTCCCGGCAATTATCGAATATTTGGAGGTATCGTAGCTGAAATGTCGACGCTTCGGATTCCACCAAATCTACATAAACCGTACGGCGTTTTGGGATCAGCGGCTACGCAGCTGGCTGCGGTCAACACCCAATCGTCGGCGATGATAGAACCTCCGCACCGATGCATACCCGGTCTAGAATCAGGCATTTGGATCCAACAGTATTCGTTATCATATTGCAGTCATGCACCGCTCTCATTTCATATAGCTTTATACTACTGGGGAGCAGAAACTTACTCGGATTGAATGGATACCATATAGCGGAAGATATCGGGTTTTTTCGGCCCGCCCCCAGTTATGCGCATCTAAAAACCTATATCCAGCTATCAGGCACCAACCTTTTCTGGAGCTGCTGCGCTACTAGCGAAGAAAATTAGAATTATATTTATGACAAGCCGCATTTTTTCTAGCGAAATTCGTGTGCCGTGATGGGCGAATGGCAGAGGATGCGCTTTTTTGTGAGTCCAAAGACGACATTCAGTGCATTGTGTGTCAAGCTGTCTCATCTTTCTTCCTTTAATTTTCCGATTCATCAAAACACCTTCTTGCAATGCCTGTATGCTTTGACGGCCAAGCAGGGCGTTTCATCGGGCCAGTCGCAAAAACTTCTTTGGAAATGAAGAGGTTTGATGAGCTTAACCTTGTAAATTTATTTTGTTTTGGAAATCTTGTGAATAAACTCGTTTTCTTCAGCTTGTTGATCGAGTGTGTCTAATTATCAACCGTCTTTGTTTAGCTACAGTAACGGCAGCAAAACTTTATTTATGTCCTAAAGAGGCCTGGTTCCGCTTTAAGAAAGAAAAACAATTTTGGTCAGAATGTTCGATCGGCGGCGGCAACATTTGCAATTAACAAATTCATAATTCGAGACACAATTTCTCGCCCGTGGTTGCATGAATCCAATCGCAGTAGAGAGCGATCTCGGGCCCTTGGACTAAAAACGAATTTTGCATTACAAAAACACAGAAAACTCTTAAAAAAGGAATATTGAAACTTTTAGATTGCAGGCTTACTTGTGGTGTCAGGTGTCTGGCAATCTTCGTCTCTAAGACGGCCAATCAAGCTCACTTGCACATAGTACCAGGCTTTGTTTACGGCAGGCGCATAAGTCGTTATTGGGCCCCCTGTGTCACCCTAAAGTGATTCCACCTTGGCATGACTTGGTCCTGATTCCTTTTTGGTCGTAGTTGGAAAAATAACAGTTCTAGGAAGGCCCAAAGACCTACACGACAAGGACTGGAAGATTTCTGTCCGCCATCGAAGCACTGGGTCCTCTCGCCCTCTTTTCCAATTTTGCACTGACCCCGCGGCAGCATTTGAGCGATGTAGCCACGCAGTCGAGGCTGATATTCATCCTCACCTGAATTTCGGCATTTATTCCGGCATAAACATAGTCAGGTGAAGTCAATCAAATCCCCTATCAAAATCAAATCAAAGTCCAAAGGTGCCTTGATATGACCTACCGTTCGCCCAAGCTATTCCCCAACCGAGGATATTTACAGCAATCCGGGCAGGCATTCGTGCCCGCCATAGCATCACTGGGTTTACGTGCTTGTCCCAGCTGAATTTTCCTCGCAACTGTAACCTCGTTCCTATTGCTGATACATCATACACCGACCTTGATCAGCGCTATATTATCGTCAATCCCCGAGGGCTTCCATTTCTTGTGGATGTAGACCTTCGCGACCGCAAGGCGTTGCTGAAAATCCTGTTGGCGCTTGGCACCTCTTTTTTTTGGACTCTTTCGATTCATAGAAGCCGGCTAAACGGACCTCACCTCCGTTGGACCAGGATGGTTCTTTGTGTCGTTTATCCAAGGAGTTCCAGCGATGATTGTGTATTTCGAAGTATCATAGCTGAAATCGTGGCGTGTGGCTCCAATAGCATATAAAACGTACGGCGTAATGGGATCAGCGGCTACGCAGCTGGCTGCGGTCAACACCCAATCGTCGGCGATGATAGAACCTCCGCACCGATGCATACCCGGTCTAGAATCAGAGGTATCAGGTCAGGTCTAATATATGAAGGGTCTGTGCGCCGAGCCACCCAAGAGTCACATTCGCGCCACTGATTAAAGGGCTGCCGACGGCATGTGTCGATCCCCCCATCAACAAATTGGCAAGTAGCCAACTGGGCAGAGAGCGCGCCCTGGGGAGAGGCGCAGAGACATTTGCTTTCCAGCGCGTAACCGATTGACTATGCCGTCGGCATCCCTTTAATGGTTCAGAACGAGAGAGGAATGTACCTTTAATTTATTACCAAAGCGTTACGGTGAGCAGCTGCTTGCGGTTTCAGGGATTCTATCAGATCCAACTATGGTTGATAACTTTGGTACTTCGTTCACAACTATGGTATTTAGACCAAAACTTACTCAGATTGAATCGAGACCATGTAACGATGAATATCGGTTTCTCTTGCCCATCCTTTGACTATGAAGTTCTAAACTTATATATAACGGGGGAAAAGCAGTTTCTCAGCTAGCACCAGGAAACGATGCAAACCTTTTCTGGAGCCGCGGCACTACCAGCAACAAAGATGAAAATTATGTTGATAGCAAGCGCCATTTTCAGACGAATGGTGTGGGCTCGGCAATGGAAGAGCACCTGCCGCTCCTCTTTTATTAGAACCTGTGCATTCTGTGCATTGTGTGTCATGCCGTGTCATCTTTCTGTCTTTTCATTGGCGTATTCCTCAAAATATATGGCTTTCACTACATACAGGGTGTCCCAATAAAAAAGGTCACGCTGGCATTTTGCTTTGAAATCCGATCGCTTTGAAATTTTGCACAGAGGTGCGTAAAGAAATTTAAAATGTTCACAGAAACTTTCAGCTCGATCGGTACAGTAGTTTTTGAGTTACGGCAAATACATTTTTTCTGATATTTTCGCTTGAGTTTTTCGGCTATCTTTTTGGACTTTGCATCAACCAACATAAATTTCCGGCTCTAATTACCTCATTCTACTAAACATCGGAGTTGCGAATACCTTGTTGAAGTTACTTAAATAGCCTATTTCCAAGCCGAATTTTGCGAAATAAAAATTTTCCTAGGATAAAAACGGGTCGGCGCTTCATTTTCTCCATACATTCCTGTGCTGAATTCCGGTGAAATCCAGATTAAAGGCGTAAAATAAAGTTTATTTATGCCAGAACTCGAAAACTACTGTACGGATCGGGCTGAAAGTCTCTGAGAACATTTTAAATTCCCTTCCGAACCTCTTTTCAAAATTCGGGCCTGTATCTCGACGTCCCTCAATTTTTGGGTGAACTGAGGGTCCTCCCAGAATAGAGTGTTGTGAGACCTATCAAACCACACCTCATACTCCAGAATCGGGAACATCTGCTATTTTAACGAGCGATTTCTAAAAATTGTGACAGAACTTATTATCCAACCTGATATTATTACCTCCAGGCGCAATGTTTCCCCAGCCTAGAAAGTAGATCGGGTTCAGATCTTCCGCTGGCAGCTTCCAACTAATAAGGACGGCAGGTTGAGCAGTGTCGCCATATTTTATAGGCATTTCTAGCTGAAAGAAATCAACTGGAAAGAATCGGAAGTCTTCGCACCTTCGAGAAAAAAAACTTATTTTCACTTTGTCGAAATTTTGCTTTGCCGAAATATCGTTTTGTGAAAAGTCTTGTCAAAACGCCGATTTGTCCAGATCTTAATACCATTTTCGCCCCCGATGATTCGTCTCAAACCTGATCTCGACAACCATAAAATAAATTTCGACAAGCCGAGATTGCGAGAAAATGTTTTTCGACAAATGACATTTCGACACAATGATTTTTTACATAATGGTATTTCGACAAAATGCGCTTCGAAATTCTCAATCATTCAAAATCCTAATTAGAAAATCCGAGAAAGCCTTCAAAATACAGACCTGAATAAGTCCAACATCATTCGGGAATTCCATCGCCTTCTCGTGCACAAAATAGGGGTGTATGAGTAAACGTTTAGGACGCAAAATTTGCTAAATTACAGCGTACACAGATTTTTTGAAGTGTCTACCATTTCTTCCTCCACTTCCGCAAAGATATTTGTAGCACCGACAATGATTCGAGTATTTTCTACGTCGATTTCGTCGCTTAATCAAAATTAGATCTGGCAAACGAAATACATGCAATGGGCCGCCGTCAAAATCCATTCCGGGTGAATAATAGACGCGCCGCAACGGTGTTCCCATTCTCTAAAATTATATATCAACTTTACATCTGAAATACAAGAAAACCATATAAGTAGCCAATATAACAATAACAGATCATGACTTTGTATACCCTTAATTCGTTACCCATCTCTTTTCCACTGAATAGAAGCCATGAACGGATAGTCATGTATTTTCAGGGCTTCTCCATGTATGATCTTTGCCTAGGCGGCTATGGCTTAGATAAATTATCGAAAATCTACTTCCACCCGTTGTAGGCAAGCGAGAGCAACAGCCAGGAAAACTCGGAGCATGTTCCAATATGAGTCTAGTTGTAACGGCTCTCAGCTGTCGCGGCTTTTGCAAGTCAATAGGGCCGCTGCGGAAATTCACCAGAAAATCGGATGATACAACTTCGAAAATTGTGCCATTCGGAAGCATGAAAAATATTGCCGAATCCGGTTTGCCCGTAACTTGGGTACTCTACGCGGTTTTCGAGCAAAAGGATGACACATTCGCGTCAGCCAGTCGAGCTCGTCAGAATTTCGCCGGAGACTCATTCGAACCAGCTTGAAGCGCTGATCCCGATGTGCTAACTGGCACATCTGTAACATCGCGTGTGGGTTTTTTTGACGATTTTTTAAGTTGCAACTGAGGACCCGACGCCCCCTGCATGGTTTAAGCTGTGCTTAATGTTATTTTGAACCTGTAGCTTTGTTTTCTCTCATTTTCATGCAGGTTTATTACACCAAATTCAGCACATGGAATCATCAAATGTGCGCTATGTGAGTATCAATCCCTACGAGCATGAGGGTGACCCGGGGTCTAGGCGGAGGCCGTGGTGGCGGAGGTGATGGCATCGGTGGCGCCAGTCACGCCAGAGACGTCCCAACCACAGATCAGCTGAGTCATGTAGTTGATGAGCATCTGCAGCTGGGCCCAGCAATCTTCAGGGGTCGACTGCGACTTGGCGACGGAGACGCCGATCATGAAGCTGGACCATTCCTGAAAGGGCGTGGTTGGTAGGCACACATAGCTGTCATAAGCGAAGGCTAAGCCTAATTCTAAGCCTAGGCCTAAGCATAAGCCTCAGCCTCAGCCTAAGGCACTCAGACGCTACGACGTACCGATTGGAATTCAGCATCCTCCCAGCAGCCAAACGTCACGGCCATGTACTTGCAGATGAACACACAGTAGTCCTGAAGACAAGCTTATCACTTAACCGGCATCGCCTTACCGCTCCAGGCTCGGACGGCTCCTCGCCGGAGACACCTTCTCCAGATCCACCACCCGATCCTGATCCGCTGCCCTCGTTCGAGGCCAGACCCTCGCACTAAATATTTGATTTAGCCGCCAGAACTTGCGCATCTACCTCGCTGGCGACCTCATTGATCATCGTGATGAACTCGGCGTTGCCCTCGAAGCTGCCCCAGTAGATCATCGTGTAGATGCACGTGTCCCAGGTGATGTGCAGGGATGGGTTGTTGACCGGGGCCGGCTTGGGCTCGCAGTCGGGGTTCTGAAAGAGATCGGAATGAAAAAGTGCATGGTGCGTCGCTCAGAACTGAGAAAGCGCTATCCACCTCAACGACGTAGATCATGTACTGAAGGCAGATGTAGATGGCGTCGTAGCACTCTTCCTCGGTGAGGAGCTCCCATTGGGTGTAGCCGCAGAGCTAAAACGATTAGTGTGAGTCCTACGAGTGAGGATCCAAACTGGCAACCGTGGCCTTTTGGTATAATTCAAAGCTTTGTGAGGCAATGGAGAGTGGAGATACAACATGCTGGGCAAGTTCGGGACGGAACTGCGCCATCACCCCCAAACTTACATCGAAGTACCAGGTCATGAACGCCTCATAGAGCTCGCAGCGCGACTCATCCGAGCAGAACCACGCGATGAAGTCGTAGATACCATAGCATCCGGTTTCGGTCGTGGTCGGCTCCGGAGGTGTAGTCGGCTCGCATCCGCAGGTCATGTACCCGAGGAACTCCTCGATCAGGGAGATCCACTCAATGTCCCAAGCTAAAAAAGGGGTTGGTACGTTAACTAGACATCTAGTAACCCACTCCACTCATATTCTCCCCAGCATCCGCAATCCCAGTCGAGCTGGTACCACAGCGCCTCGAACTTCAAGATCCATTCGGAGTACCAGGCCGTCTCGTAGAAACCGCACTCGATGGCGATGATCTCGAAGAAGAAGAAGATGCCGGTCGGACCCTCGATCTAAAAGGAAGGAGCCTTTGATATAGTCAAGTTTTGACGAACCTGAGCGCACTCATCCTCTCCGGATCCGGATCCGGATCCGTTTCCTGATCCGGTGGGCACAACAGCAGTGGCATCAGTTCCATCGTCAGTCTCACACATGGTGTTGGCGCCGACGAGGAGGAGGTCCCAGTTTCCGTTGAGCCAGATCTCGATGCTGAAGTCGATGAAGAGTTCCCAGGAGCACTAAAAGTAGGTGGTGGAATCGTACGCCATCTAATTAAGCGTACGGAGTCGAGGTACAAAAGTCGAAAGCCGGTGAAGGTATGTGCAGAAGCGGCACTCTCTCTCTCCTTACCTCCTCAGTAGATCCAGACGGGGCAGGTCCATCGGTGACCAAGGCAGTGAAGTCAGTAACAGCGGCGGTGACCGCGTCAGTAGGAGCGGCAGATGCGGCGCCAGTAGTCTCCGAAGAGCCTTCACCGTCCTCTTTACTTCCGCTGCCACTTCCGCTACCTCCATGCTTGTCGCGACGGCACTTGCTTGTCTGGTCAACAAAGGCCTTAGCCTTTTCGGGTCCAGTGCAGTCGGGCTTCTCCTCCTGAAGTCATTAGTTTACCGGGATTCTCGGGAACAACTCACCTTGAAAGTCGTGCAATATCCATTGAGTGTAGCGCGCCATTCGACGTCAATGTAGAGTTGGGCAATAAAGTAGAAGTAATTCTGAAAGGAAAGAAGTTAAGGTGAGTCTTCACGGATACGACTTACGATGATGTACTTGCATTGTTCCTCAGCGCTGAGCTCTCCGCAGCTTCCTGAGGTCGGGAAAACCTCGGTGAAGTCGGTGTAGTCGGTGAACTCGGTGGGCAGGTCGGAGCTGGGTTCCTCGGATGGCCAGGTCGGTACTCGCCGCATCAGATGGAAGAGCGGTCGGGATCTAAAGGTATCATTAACGATCTAAGGGCTTTAATAAATATTGCTGTACGATGATATTTTTAGCATTTTCACCCTACAAAGCGCTGTACTTCTTGAAAATGCCGATTAGACAAATTTGGAGTACAGATTCGAAATCAGCGCAAAATTCTGCACGAACTAGGCTAGGTTCTGCTCAAGACTGGGATGACGCTCAAAAGCGTCTCCTTGTTAGACCGTACCGGCTGGAAGTCGCAGCAGCACTGGAAGAACTGCTCGATCCAGGTGATGCAGACGCTCCATTCGATGTCGACCTTTCCGCTGCAGTACGCGTCCCATTCGGTTTTGAACTGAAATAAGTGAGCTTGTCACCTTGGGGCAAAACTTACGTCAATCCATCCCTGGAATCCGGCAGCCTCCATTCCGCACGACTCGGCGATCGTCACGAACAGATACGTGTACTGCTCGACGGTGCCGCTGAACGTCTCCGTCTCCGGGGTAACCACGACTCCAAGTGTGGTTTCCATGTAGTAGCCGATGAACTGCAGGATCTCGACGCTGCCTTCAGCGATCAGCTGCTGGATCAGTTGGACACAGGCTTCGATTGCTTTGGCGTCCGCATCAAAACCGGAATCGGTGCACTCGGCGGATTGTCCGGCTTTGATCTCGCATGCCTGGAAGGCGTACGTACTCAAAATTACCGCACTACTAGTTTCGTCTCCAGTTTAAGCTTAGACTTAGACCTAGCCGGGCTTCGCACAGGATTAGGCCTTTGATCGGCTTAGGTTTGTGCTCAGGCTTAGGATTGGCTTAGGTTCAGGTCAGGTTCAGGCTAAAGCTAAGGTTGACGCTTAGGCTCATGCTTCCGTTCAAGCTTCGCTTAGGCTTAGGTTAGGCTGAGGCTTAGGCTTAGGCCTAGGCTAGGCTTCGGCTGGCGCTTAGGCTTGTGCTTTGACATGAACCTGACAACATCGAGTGACTTACATCCTTGATGACCTGGAGCCACTGAAGTTCCACTGGTCCGGAGGCACATGAGCTCATGTAGTAGTAGAAGGAGGAGGCGAAGCTGAGGCGGTACTCGTACGAGGAGAAGATGTAGCCGATAAGGTAGTAGAATTCGGAGACGCCGACCTGGTCGTTAAGCTCTTCAGGTTCGGCCTAGAAGCAAAAGATTATGAATGGCACGGTGCGGAAAGTACAGAATGCAAGCGCTAACGGCTTACATGCACCGATAAGTATGCAGTTCGACTAACCGGGATCTGTTGCGGGTTCTCGCAGTAGTAGGCCGTAAGCTGAGTGCACTGCGTAGTGGCAGCCGTAATGTCGGTTTCGGTCATTCCGGTGGTGTCAAAGCTGTAGCAGCTGTAGAGGGTCTGCCACGTCTGCGACTCCCAGGTCCAGCCGCGGAGTTGTGCGAATGGGAACATCCAGCTGCCCATCTGAAAGAGGACAGTCAAATTTCAGAGTTCGAAAATCTTACGTAGGTGTTGTTTGCCGGCGCGGTAGTAGCAGTAGCCGGCGCCTCGGTGGTGTCATCGCTAGGGGCGAGGGTGGCGAAGCCGCAAGCGTCGTAGTACTGAAAAGAAATGGTAATAGGAGATAAAGAACAGCTTTTTTGAGCTCCATCTCAAGCTCCAAGGCAAAGCCCACCGATTGGATGTAGACGCTGTACGTTTCGTAGTCGTTGTAGAGACCGTTGACGCACGCGGTAAGTCCGAAGATCCAGTAGGACTTGCCCTCGTTCTCTGCATCCGTTGGCGGGGTGGGCGGAAGGCTGGTGGCGAAGCCTCCCTGGAATGATTTGGTTAGCTTGTTTGCGTCGCTCCCGTCGAAGACAAATCGAAGCCTAAGCCTAAGCCAAAGCGTAAGTCATCCTGCATACCTGCTCGTAGCTGATCAGGATCTCGATGAACTTCTGCGCGTACAACTCGTCGTCATAGGCGTACGGATCGGGAAGGGTGCTGGCGAAGTCTTCGAAAGCCTAAAAGATACTTTCATTTTTAGACCTTGACCAGGTTACCGTGATGATGGCAGTGTAGGCGCTGCGATCGTAGAAGATCAGCGCCACGCGCTCGGTGAAGGTGAGCGCGAACTGCTCGCAGCCACACTAAAGAGGGAAGTTTTCAGCTGAACATGGGCAACTTACAGCTGCTCCCGCTGCAAGCAGGGTGCAGAAACTAACGATGTTGAGAAGTTTCATTACCTGAAAAGAGCTGAAAAGTTGAAAAGTCGTAAATTGAAACGAGAACGTTTGGAGCAAGAAGCCGTAGGGTTTTGAAGTCTGAAGTGGACGCTGCTAACGCTTACGCTAAGCTTAGGCTTAGGCTTAGGCTTAGGCTTAGGCTTAAGCTTAGGCTTGGGCTTGTGTTTAGGATTGAGCTTAGGCTTGGGCTTAGGCTTAAGCTTAGACTTAGACTTAAACTTAGCTTAGGTTTAGGCTTAGGCTTTGGATCAGGCTTAGGGTTAGGCTTAGGTTTAGGGAGACCGAAGCCCGGGTTCAAGCCAAGACCTAGATGGCAATCCAGCTAGGTTACAAATGTAGAAGTTGCTCAAAATTCGGCCTCCGGACTCCATGGAAGCGAGAAGCCAAGCTCCCGAAGCTACAGTAAGCCAAAGAAATTGAAGCTCAAACGAAGCTGATGCTCCTCTCAGCTTCACCCGTCCTTATATTCCCCCCAAATCCAATAAACACCCCCACAAATACTCGCGGCACCCCACTGGGCCCTGGCCTCAAAAATCGTCTAGCCGTTCAGTGTCAAAAGGCAATTTCCGAAAAAGCCAACCCTCCGGACTTTTCCACTTTTTATTTGGCGTCCAATGCCCGGCTGCCGTCCACTCACGTGGAATATAACATGTAAACCTTAGAAACAATCTAGGGCCTACATAAACTATCGACTATTGCTAAAAAACCCCTTAAAATGCTGGTCTTTCGACGAATCAAATGCGCTTAATTTTCTACATCCTGCTCTTTCTCCTTCTCGCGGCTACCGTAGTGAAGTAAATTGGACCCAACACAGAATGTCCTATGGCTCTCTTGTCATGCAGAGCGAACCCCGATGCGGGGGGACGATATGCAGTTTCGGTGGATTTTGGTGCCGTGAACCATCCGCCCCGGGCTGCATGGATGGAAGCGTGCTGAATCGGATTTTTTGCGCATTTCCATGTGATCTGCACCGGATGATAAATAATTGTAGTAGCGAGAGCGAGCGAGAGAGAGAGAGTGAAAGAGAGAGTGAGAGAGAGAGAGAGAGAGAGAGAGAGAGAGAGAGAGAGAGAGAGAGAGAGAGAGAGAGAGAGAGAGAGGCAGGCAGGCAGGCAGGCAGGCCGGCCCAAAGGAACTTTGTTTATCCCACAAAACATCTGATCCCGATATTTTCAGCAATACATCCGGACCTCTGCCGTGACCTCAACGCCACAAAAATGCAAATTCCGTCCCCACACCCCATTCCTTGCAAAGCCGTGAAGTTTCGAGATACCACATTATTCATGAATAATGCTTCGGACGTTCTATAAAAAGCAATTGGCCTCAAAGCATGCCACCATTTTCACAATGGCTTCTCTTTCCTATATTCTGCTTCTTGCCGTCGCTTCGGCAACAGCAGGATACGGGGAAGGATATTTTTGCTGCAGCTTTTTTGGTGATCCCAAAACCGGAAGTTGCGAGAAAATCGGAACGTGTACCGTGCGTCATTTGAATAAATGGTCAAAAGTTTCCCAGCCAAAAACGGAGATAATCAGAGCCACATCCCAATCGGCGATATAAAGAGTGCATATCTGCCAAAACGTTCTCGCACATCTAGGTTTTCTCTCTCGCCCTCTCTCTTTCTCTCCCGTCCTTTGCAGCAAACGAGAAAGCTTCGGAAAAGCAAAAATGAGGCGATTGAATAGGAGAAATCCTTGATCAGAAGATTCCCTTCGATTTCCTCTCTTTTGAATTTGATGGTTGATTGATGCCATTTTGATAGGCGGATTTCTTGTTCATGCGATCCATTCCCTTCCATTTACTTTCTCACGCTCACACGTTACAACGCCTTTCCCGGCTAGGCAAGGATGCAAATCACGCGGCCGTACCTTCGGCCCATCCGTAAATTCCAAGAATAAATTTAGGGCCTGCATAATCTGTCCCGAATGCTTTAAAAGCACGGCCCTCCTCTATGTCACCATCTTCGCGATGCGCCCCCTTACCTATCTCTTGCTCCTGATCATGGCTATTGCCGCGGTTGACGCGCTCCTTAAAATATCGCGTTGCCATGGAGACCACCCGTGCCCTGAGGGCTATATCTGTGAAGATAATCATTGCGTCAAAGAGGTATGGTCCGATGGTTAGAAGTTGAACATTACTTGCGGCTGCCGTGCAGTCCCTTCTTCTCACAACTGGGGCAGGTTCCCCCCCACCCAAAATCGGCCGAAGGACAAAAAGTTCATAGGGAGGACCCTTATCATCTTTTCTAATGAAAATTTTATAGCGCTTTTTTATATTTTTGTTAAACCAATTTTTTGTTACAAAAAACCTCATTTTTCAAAAATTTTGGTCTGTGGCGCCAATTTTGCGTTGATGATTCTTGGTATGGACTTCGATATTTGTATGGGAAATAGTGACAGACAGCCTACTTCAAACAGCTGTAAGACGTCGTCTAGACGAAGTCTGCCCCTAATCAAATATACCATTCCATCAGAAAAATTCTCTCAAGATTTGCTTCAAATAAATTAGAGTTCAAAATAAAAAAGAATGACATCATCAAATGAGTCCGGGTTTATACGGTTTTTTTACTAAGATTTTTTATTTTATTTTTTTATATTCAAGGATTCCTCGAAAAGAGTAAAACCAGCGTCGTCCTGTTTGTTTTGGTCAATCAGCAAGCAATTAACATGATGAGTTTGCAGAAAATTTGCAGTTTTCGTGGTCTCTGGTCATATATTGAGTGAACTAAAATCTCGCCTTTTTGAGAACTTTTGATGGATACCTTTATTTTTTTTGTTTTTTGATCTTCACTAGCGGACCTGATTGCGGCCCGCTAGGGGGGATCGATTTTTTTTGGGACACCGTGTAGACCAGGTAGAGAAATAAAAATTTAGAATCGATGCAAGACAAAGTCAGATTGCCCGGCACACTATAGCTGTCACATCGGCAAATGCACGGAGACGGTTTGCATCAAGATTGACCTTTTTCCCAAACCGATTTCAGAGGCTGCTCGGCTGTGGCGAAGGCTGCGGAGACGGTCGATTTTGCTGCAGCTTCACAGGCATCCCAGAGAACGGATTTTGCGCAAAAATCGGGGAAGTTTTATGTTGAATCATGAAATAAATCACGCTGAGTCATTGGAAACGCTCGAGAATGACAATTTCAGAAATGGAGCAACTCGAAGAGTCGCATCTGAAAGCGCTTGAAAAATGACATACAAAAATAGCACATGCTTGTTGCCGTTCCTCGGTTTTCATCCTTAAAAACTGATAAAGCACTAAAATTCTAATTGTTATGGGAAAACATATTCAACGGAAAATTGGAAACAAGTTCTCCAGAGATCTCCAATTTTAGCATGAACTAAATTTTATAACTGGACAGGTATTAAAAAAGTAGGTTAGTGTCCGAGCCTCAGGCAGTATCCAATGTTACAGTTATGTCAAAATCGATAAGGGCTCCGCTTTGAAAAAACCATTTTCAAGCGCCATATAGCCTCCTGCCGCCCGTTTTCACCATCGACGATGAATTTTATTTTCCATATCCTACTTCTCAGCGCGGCCATCGCCGCGGTAACGGTAGATGCCGTAAGTTCATAGAATTAGCTAGCTGTTCTATACATGTCTTCCAGACCTGCATGGGTATCAACGATTGTCCGGCAAACCATGACTGTATGCGTCTACAGTGCGTGGAACAGGTTAGGTTTACGACATGGTAAATTTTTGGCCCACACCCTCAGTATAAATAACAAAAAGAACTAAATCTGTGGCTGTCGGGGATTAACTCCAGCTTTAACCTTTAATGATTTTTCTATGCTACATTGCAACCCGTATCAAAGGTTGGCTTATTAGCATTCTAAGATGCCCGATCGTAGCGATTCTAAGCTATCTTCAGGGTAATCTACTATATAAATTCTAAGTCCGTGCGCCCGTGCGACCAGAATTCAGCTTAATTCGCATTCAAATTACAAATTCGGGGTGTGGGGGGTGGGTGAAGGCTGGCGCTGAACCCCCGCGTAATGGGGGGTCAGCGCTGGTTATACCTAATTTACAATATCTAGAAAAAGTGCGAAGAACAACACGACTGTCCCGATTTCCATCTTTGCCGTGGCGGTCGGTGTGTGTGGCCGGTTTGTCATTGTCATTTTTATTTTTCTCCATTTTTTTTCAGCGCACAGAATGTGCGGCCGGGAGCTGCGACCAGTTCCATCACTGCTGTGCTCCATCTGCCGAATCAAAGTTCCATTACTGCACCCCGAACGAACACACCTGCAAGTAAACGGAATAAAGAATTTGTGGAGCAGAAAAAGAAAGACGGTGCAGTGTCAGCCAGTCGAGCTCGTCAGAATTTCGCCCCGGACTCATTCTAACTAGCTTAAAACGCTGATTTCGATGTGCTACCTGGCATAGTTGAAAAATCGCGTTTGTGATTTTTACGATTTTTAGCAGTCTCTGCACTTTACTCTACACTCCTAGACACTCTGCAAGCCGCCCGATCGGTTCTGCCTTCCAAGGCTGATTTCGCGATAAATCAACCTTGCCAAATTGTTTTGAAGGCTGCATCTGAAAGAACATAAAAAATAGTGCCGGAAAAGTCTTTGTACGCAACTTATGAGGCCCTTGTTTATTTGCTAGAGTTTTCGAAGTGATCAGTTCTTGCCTTTTCGAGCAAAGGGGGGACCAGGTCGATTTTTTCGAAAATTCGTGTCAGTAAATAAAGCTCGTCGGAATTTCGCCCCTACTCATTCGAACCAGCATGAGACGCTGATTCCGATGTGCTTCCTGGTACAGCTGTAAGATGGCGTTTGGGTTTTTTTTACGATTTTTGAGGTTGCAACTGGGGACCCAGCAGCCCCCAGTATGGTTTCAGGTTGTGCTGAATGTTATTTTGAAGGTGTAGCTTTCCGTTTCTCTAATTTTCATGCAGGTTTATTACACCAAATTCAGCACATGGAATCATCAAATGTGCGCTATGTGAGTATCAATCCCTACGAGCATGAGGGTGACCCGGGTGTCTAGGCGGAGGCCGTGGTGGCGGAGGTGATGGCATCGGTGGCGCCAGTCACGCCGGAGACGTCCCAACCACAGATTAGCTGAGTCATGTAGTTGATGAGCATCTGCAGCTGGGCCCAGCAATCTTCAGGGGTCGACTGCGACTTGGCGACGGAGACGCCGATCATGAAGCTGGACCATTCCTGAAAGGGGGTGGTTGGTAGGCACGCATAGGTGTCATAAGCGAGGCCTAAGCCTAAGCATAAGCCTCAGCCTCAGCCTAAGGCACTCAGACGCTACGACGTACCGATTGGAATTCAGCATCCTCCCAGCAGCCAAACGTCACGGCCATGTACTTGCAGATGAACACACAGTAGTCCTGAAGACAAGCTTATCACTTAATGGGGGTCGCCTTACCGCTCCAGGCTCGGACGGCTCCTCGCCGGAGACACCTTCTCCAGATCCACCACCCGATCCTGATCCGCTGCCCTCGTTCGAGGCCAGACCCTCGCACTAAATATTTGATTTAGCCGCCAGAACTTGCGCATCTACCTCGCTGGCGACCTCATTGATCATCGTGATGAACTCGGCGTTGCCCTCGAAGCTGCCCCAGTAGATCATCGTGTAGATGCAAGTGTCCCAGGTGATGTGCAGGGATGGGTTGTTGACCGGGGCCGGCTTGGGCTCGCAGTCGGGGTTCTGAAAGAGATCCCGGATAAAAAAGTGCATGGTGCGTCACTCAGAACTGAGAAAACGCTATCCACCTCAACGACGTAGATCATGTACTGAAGGCAGATGTAGATGGCGTCGTAGCACTCTTCCTCGGTGAGGAGCTCCCATTGGGTGTAGCCGCAGAGCTAAAACGATTAGTGTGAGTCTTAAAGTGAGTAGTGAGGATCCAAACTGGCAACAGTGGTACACTTTTGGTATGCTTCTAAGCTCTGTGAGGCAATGGAGAGTGCAGATACAACATGCTGGGCAAGTTCGGGACGCGACTGCGCCATCACCACCAAACTTACATCGAAGTACCAGGTCATGAACGCCTCATAGAGCTCGCAGCGCGACTCATCCGAGCAGAACCACGCGATGAAGTCGTAGATACCATAGCATCCGGTTTCGGTGGTGGTCGGCTCCGGAGGTGTAGTCGGCTCGCATCCGCAGGTCATGTACCCGAGGAACTCCTCGATCAGGGAGATCCACTCAATGTCCCAAGCTAAAAAGGGGTTGGTACGTTAACTAGACATCTAGTAACCCACTCCACTCATATTCTCCCCAGCATCCGCAATCCCAGTCGAGCTGGTACCAGAGCGCCTCGAACTTCAAGATCCATTCGGAGTACCAGGCCGTCTCGTAGAAACCGCACTCGATGGCAATGATCTCGAAGAAGAAGAAGATGCCGGTCGGACCCTCGATCTAAAAGGAAGGAGCCTTTGATATAGTCAAGTTTTGACGAACCTGAGCGCACTCATCCTCTCCGGATCCGGATCCGGATCCGTTTCCTGATCCGGTGGGCACAACAGCAGTGGCATCAGTTCCATCGTCAGTCTCACACATGGTGTTGGCGCCGACGAGGAGGAGGTCCCAGTTTCCGTTGAGCCAGATCTCGATGCTGAAGTCGATGAAGAGTTCCCAGGAGCACTAAAAAGTTGGTGGTGGAATCGTACGCCATGTAATTAAGCGTACGGAGTCGAGGTACAAAAGTCGAAAGCCGGTGAAGGTATGTGCAGAAGCGGCACTCTCTCTCTCTCCTTACCTCCTCAGTAGATCCAGACGGGGCAGGTCCATCGGTGACCAGGGCAGTGAAGTCAGTAACAGCGGCGGTGACCGCGTCAGTAGGAGCGGCAGATGCGGCGCCAGTAGTCTCCGAAGAGCCTTCACCGTCCTCTTTACTTCCGCTGCCACTTCCGCTACCTCCATGCTTGTCGCGACGGCACTTGCTTGTCTGGTCGACAAAGGCCTTAGCCTTTTCGGGTCCAGTGCAGTCGGGCTTCTCCTCCTGAAGTCATTAGCTTACCGGAACTCTCGGGAACAACTCACCTTGAAAGTCGTGCAATATCCATTGAGTGTAGCGCGCCATTCGACGTCAATGTAGAGTTGGGCGATAAAGTAGAAGTAATTCTGAAAGGAAAGAAGTTGAGGTGAGTATTCAAGGATGCGACTTACGATGATGTACTTGCACTGTTCCTCAGCGCTGAGCTCTCCGCAGCTTCCTGAGGTCGGGAAAACCTCGGTGAAGTCGGTGTAGTCGGTGAACTCGGTGGGCATGTCGGAGCTGGGTTCCTCGGATGGGAGGTCGGTGCTCGCCGAATCAGATGGAAGAGCGGTCGGGATCTAAAGGTATGGATTAACGATCTAAGGGCTTTAATAAATATTACTGTACGATGATATTTTTAGCATTTTCACCCCACAAAGCGCTGTACTTCTTGAAAATGCCGATTAAACAAATTTGGAGTACAAATTCGAAATCAGCGCAAAATTCTGCACCAACTAGGCTAGGTTCTGCTCAAGACTGGGATGACGCTCAAAAGCGTCTCCTTGTTAGACAGTACCGGCTGGAAGTCGCAGCAGCACTGGAAGAACTGCCCGATCCAGGTGATGCAGACGCTCCATTCAATATCGACCTTTCCGCTGCAGTACGCGTCCCACTCGGCTTTGAACTGGAAAAAGTGGGCTTGATCCCTTGGGGCAAAACTCACGTCAATCCATCCCTGGAATCCGGCAGCCTCCATTCCGCACGACTCGGCGATCGTCACGAACAGGTAGGTGTACTGCTCGACGGTGCCGCTGAACGTCTCCGTCTCCGGGGTAACCACGACTCCAAGTGTGGTTTCCATGTAGTAGCCGATGAACTGCAGGATCTCGACGTTTCCTTCAGCGATCAGCTGCTGGATCAGTTGGACACAGGCTTCGATCGCTTTGGCGTCCGCATCAAAATCGGCATCGTCGCACTCGGCGGATTGTCCGGCTTTGACCTCGCATGCCTGGAAGGAGTACATGATTGAAACCAGTGTTCTAATAAGTGAGGCTGAGAGTGAGGCTCAGGCTTAGGCTTAAACCAAGGCTTAAAGTTAGCTTAAGCTTAGTGTCAGGGGTAGGTTTCGCTAGGGCTTAGGCTAATGCTTAGGCTTAGGCCTGAACTTATGCTTAGACGTAGGCTAAGGCTTGCGACTAAGCAGACCGGCTAGAACGACTTACATCCTTGATGACCTGGAGCCACTGAAGTTCCACTGGTCCGGAGGCACATGAGCTCATGTAGTAGTAGAAGGAGGAGGCGAAGCTGACGCGGTACTCGTACGAGGAGAAGATGTAGCCGATAAGGTAGTAGAATTCGGAGACGCCGACCTGGTCGTTAAGCTCTTCAGGTTCGGCCTAGAAGCAAAAGATTATGAATGGCACGGAGCGGAAAGTAGAGAATGCCGCTAACGGCTCACATGCACCGATAGGTATGCAGTTCGACTAACCGGGATCTGTTGCGGGTTCTCGCAGTAGTAGGCCGTAAGCTGAGTGCACTGCGTAGTGGCAGCCGTAATGTCGGTTTGGGTCATTCCGGTGGTGTCGAAGCTGTAGCAGCTGTAGAGGGTCTGCCACGTCTGCGACTCCCAGGTCCAGCCGCGGAGTTGTGCGAATGGGAACATCCAGCTGCCCATCTGAAAGAGGACAATCAAATTTCAGGGTTCGAAAATCTTACGTAGGTGTTGTTTGCCGGCGCGGTAGTAGCAGTAGCCGGCGCCTCGGTGGTGTCATCGCTAGGGGCGAGGGTGGCGAAGCCGCAAGCGTCGTAGTACTGAAAAGAAATGGTAAGGGAGATAAAGAACAGCTTTTTTGAGCTCCATCTCAAGCTCCAAGGCAAAACTCACCGATTGGATGTAGACGCTGTACGTTTCGTAGTCGTTGTAGAGACCGTTGACGCACGCGGTAAGTCCGAAGATCCAGTAGGACTTGCCCTCGTTCTCTGCATCCGTTGGCGGGGTGGGCGGAAGGCTGGTGGCGAAGCCTCCCTGGAATGATTTGGTTAGCTTGTTTGCGTCGCCCCACGTCGAAGACAAAGCGAAGCCTAAGCCTAAGCCAAAGCGTAAGTCATCCTGCATACCTGCTCGTAGCTGATCAGGATCTCGATGAACTTCTGCGCGTACAACTCGTCGTCATAGGCGTACGGATCGGGAAGGGTGCTGGCGAAGTCTTCGAAAGCCTAAAAAGATGCTTTCATTTTTAGACCTTGACCAGGTTACCGTAATGATGGCAGTGTAGGCGCTGCGATCGTAGAAGATCAGCGCCACGCGCTCGGTGAAGGTGAGCGCGAACTGCTCGCAGCCACACTAAAGAGGGAAGGTTTCAGCGGAAAATGGGCAACTTACAGCTGCTCCCGCTGCAAGCAGGGTGCAGAAACTAACGATGTTGAGAAGTCTCATTACCTGAAAAGAGCTGAAATGTTGAAAAGCCGTAAATTGAGACGAGAACGTTTGGAGCATGAAGCCGTAGGGTTTTGAAGTCTGAAGTAGACGCTGCTAACGCTTACGCTATGCTTAGGCTTAGGCTTGGGCTTAGGCATAGGCTTTGGATCAGGCTTAGGGTCAGGCTTAGGTTTAGGGAGGCCGAAACCCGGGTTCAAGCCAAGACCTAGATGGCACTCCAGCTAGGTTACAAATGTAGATGTTGCTCAAAATTTGGCCTCCGGGCTCCATTGAAGCGAGAAGCTAAGCTCCCGAAGCTACAGTAAGCCAAAGTGAATTGAAGCTCAAACGAAGCTGATGCTCCCTTCAGCTTCCCCCGTCCTTATATTCCCCCCGAATCCAATCAAAACCCCACCAATACTCACGGCACCCCACTGGGCCCTGGCCTCAAAAATCGTCTAGCCGTTCAGTGTCAAAAGGCAATTTGCGAAAAAGCCAACCCTCCGGACTTTTCCACTTTTTATTGGGCGACCAAATCACGGCCGTCCCACCCGCCCACGTTGCAAATAGGCGACAAATACCGAGCCCTCGATCCGGGAAATCGCAATTTTGACTCCGGGATGAATAGGGGGGTTGCCCTCTCCCGGTCAACACGAAAAAGGTTTTTGCGAAAGCTGCCTCTTTTCGATGTTTGGACTGGATAGACTGGCGGGGAAATCGGATATCAATTTTCTGAGGTTCAGCACGTGTTTTTAAATTCGTTTAAGCTTAGCTATTTTAGCATCATTCTGATCTGTAGATTGCTCAGACTTACCGAAAGTGTTTGGCTTTCCAGACATTGTGGTGGAAATACCGCAACCCCTAGATCCGTTTCCTTTAATCTTGCTAGATGCTAAATTTTAACTCGAACCGACAAATGTTCCCAGTATTTTTCTGACCCTTGAAAAGCATCAGAAGAATGATTTTTGTGGATCATTGACTTTTTGCTCGTACTCATCGAAATTTGGTTCCTCTCATAACTTTCTGAGCATTAATGGAAGCTAGGCTTTTTCGGGTCAACCGGTAAAAATACCGTAACCCCAAATTTTGGTGCAGCGTCGCAATTTTTCTAAAATCGTATAAGTTAAGCGCGATACCTTTCGGTTTAAATTTCGTTTTAAAATGTTTTTTTACGAATAAACGTCGGTTCAGCAACAATCATTTATCAAAACATCGATCAAACAAGCGAGCTGAGGCAGAATTGGATGCCGGTAATTTGCTCGAACCACTCGCAGAAGAGGGTCACTCGAAGGGCTTGCTCTGAAATGGATTTTGCATGTTGATTTTTGCCTTTTTGTCAATAGCTGCTAGATTGCCCTTCTCCTAACAATAAGAAACTGCTAACTTACGCTGATTTTCCGAGCAATGCGGACCGTTAATGTTCATGGCCAGCATCACCCAGTAGTATGGCATATGACCGGACGGACTAGCCACTTGCACGATGATGCCGCCTCCCTCATCTCCCTAGAACATTAATGGTACCGTACGTTTTGTAATTCTGATCGAAGCGAGCCATCAAAAATTTCTTGAAACGCGTGAGGATTTCAGGCGTAGCGGGTCGCGTTGCGTACGGTTTTCCCGCTCTATTTGGTCCGCTGCTTGCGCCCCGCAAAATCTTTGAAGGTATGAAATTACAGTTCTCGTTTTCTTGACGCCAGCAAGGAACATTTTGAACTCACATAGCAAGGAAACGACCGCTTCGGGTAGTCCAGATAGTCGAAGCAGATAAAGTTGGGGTGTGAGATCCGGGTGCAGCCGGATGTATAGCCCGCCTGGTAGAAGCGAAGGAGGGGATGGAAGGGGGCTGGAAGAATGCGTAGTTATCGCGTACACAAGTGAAGTTTTATAGCGAATCAAAGCCTCACGCCTCACGTGGGGAACCGGACGTAGAACTACATCGCGTGTATATTTTAACGCGCCTTACTTTTATTACTATAGCACCTCGAATTTACGTTTTTAAATTAAACCAGGGTTGAAAAACCGCTTCGCGGCTTTTCAACCCTGGTCCCGTCTTCTCCAATGATATTCTTGGCTTTGCATAATTTTCCCGGATTAGGATGACGAAAATGAAAAATGCTCTTGCCTTCCTTTTTATATAGGCTACCGCGACTTCCGGTGCATGCTAATTTGATCAGAACAAATTGGGGTGTCCGATTTTCCATGAAAAACTTCATTTTAATGTCGAAAACATCAAATTTTGTAAAACTGATATGTGTGCAGTCATCTCCAGGCCATTACGCACCTAATGACGTATCGAACATACCCCTAAGTACTTCCCTTCTTGAGATACTACTGGAACACGGTGACGGAAGTTGCATGCAAATGCACACACACACACAGACACTATTTTTTTATATATAGTAGGATTTCGCATTTTCTTTCGTCCCAGCGTCTTTTTTTGGGCTTGGGAAGAGCTTAAAGATCACCTCGCAAAGCCTCGATGCCCCATCCGAACCCGGTGACAATGCTCCAATATTTCCGCACGGTAGCAAAAGCTGCCGAACCCTCCCGGACTAGCGTAACCGGGATGACACTACCCTCATGGAGTCTCACGTCGTGATCCAACTAGAAAACTATGATCTCTTTCTCTCCACTTCTCTCTCTCTCTCTCTCTCTCTCTCTCTCTCTCTCTTTCTTTCTCCCTTTATCTCACGCTCTCACCTCGAGCAACGAGATCCCGAACGGGTCGTAGGTGTCGAACACCCGGTTGTGGTTCGGCACCGGCCGTGCATTTGGATGCCGGTGGATATGCCTGATCTTGATTTCTTGCTAAAACAGAGTAAATTGATGCCATCATAATTTGAAGACGCAAAAATACCGACTAGAAAATTAATTACAGGCAGTCTTGTTTAGAAAAAAATCAAAAACCTGCGCCGTTTTATTTGCTAAATAATGATCAGAATTTTTCCGGTATGGTCCTTGTCAATATGTTTCATTTAAACGTTTTCTTACCGCCCCATCTCCCGGCTTGTATTTGCCATTGATGTTGATGTTCGTAGCGCCAAGTACGACGCGAATTTCGTTCAGCCCCCCATTCTCTTCTTTGATGCTTAAAGAACACAGGCTTCTCGCTCCGTCTCTTTCTCTCTCTCTCTCTCTCTCTCTCTCTCTCTCTCTCTCTCTCTCTGTCTCTCTTGCTGTATATCTCTCTCAATATTACTTGCAATGCGCCGCGGTGAGCACCCAGCGAAGTCCGATCAGCGTTCCCGTGCATTCGTGCACCCATTGGGTAAAAATTACCTACAACTACCTACATATATTTACGTGAAGTTAAGCTTAGCTTAGGCAGCTTAGGAATGGCTTAGCTTCGACTTAGCTTCGGCTTCGCTACGGCCCAGCTTGGGCGTAGCTTAGGCGTGGCTTGGCTTCGGCTTAGCTTGGGCCTAGCTTAGACTTAGTTTAGGCATGGTTTAGCTTTGGCTTAACTTCGGCTTGGCTTTAGCTTAGCTTGGTTTAGCTTAGGTTCAGACCTGGGCTTGGGCTTAGGTTTTCCAAACTCCTTAAACTCACTCTATCCATCGCGGTGGTTGCTGTCCGTGGCGCTGAACAGAGACCGCATACGGATATTGGCTGATGTGCACGTCTTTACCGTTGACGATTTTTAGCTAGAAGGATATTTTACTTTCAAACTCAAAACGGAAATTAGCGTCGTTAAGCGTTCGAGTTAACCCTACATTTCTGTCAATATCAGAAGGCTCCTGGTCCTCAAGAAATTCATCAGAATCGACGAGTTTCTGAAATGATCATAAACACGTTTAAAACGAAAAGTTTTGAATTGCCGTAATTTGTAAGTTACGTAACCTACCGTAGCCGCATTTTGCAACAATATAGAAAAAACAAGGCAAAAGAGGAGTCGCGACATGAACATGAACACCTCCGAAAAGTGTCTCTTCCTTGCCAAATTCAATAAGAACCGTACCAGCCAGCCACACGTTTCTGTTACATCTTTTATTCATGAAGAAAGTGCAGAGTTTTGTCGAGAAAAATTGGTGAAGTAAAAGTATAACATTGCCGTCTGCTTATAGTACTTATTGTTTTTTGAACAAAAATTTCCGCCTTGAGCAATCAACAACAAATTTATTTCAATTTCACATCCTTCCGATTGTAACGCACACCCGCATGCCAATTGTCTGCTGGAGCCAGGCGCAGTGGATGGCCGTCTCCACGCCATAGGCTAGATTAAGGATCTAGATTGTGTCCGATGCATCGGATGTTACCAATCGTGTAGATCGAATAATCGCAGGTAGAGATTGCTCCAGTATGGACAGCCAGTTGCAACCAGGCACCGTGGTATTTAGTGGCCACTGGCGCGCCGGAATCGCCCTAAAATGAAGCATACGAGTAGTTGTCTTAAGTCCTGGGTCGGAGGCGAAGCCTAAGTCTGAGCCTAAGGCTAAGCCGGCCCTGAGCCTGAGCCTAAAACGATGCCGCGGCCGATGCCTAAGCCTAACCTAAGCCTAATCTTAATCCTAACCTGGGCCCAAGCCTAACCTAAGTCCAAACCTAAGCTTTAGCTTAAGCCTCATCCTAAGCCTAAGTCTAAGCCTAAGCCAGCCCTAAGCTTGAGCCTATTCGTAAGCTTAAGCCTAAGCAGAAACTCACGCCTAGGCAAGTACCGAAGCCGATACTTAGACACAATTGCCTCATTCTTAAGGTGTTTAGTTTTACCTCACATGGACCGACATGCCTCGGCCGGCCCCGATAGCAGATGACCGTACTGGTTAGATAATAAGCCCGATTACAATCTTGAAATGGGCGCCATTTTGCCGGGTACATCCGCAAATCGACGCTGGGCGGTTCTGAAATAATCAAAAAAATTTAAAAAACAGATTAATCCTACCTTACAGGGTGTCCCAAAAAAAACGAACCATCTGGCATTTCGCCGTGTTACATCCAATCGGTCCCAAATTTGGACCAGAGGTGTATCAGACCCTAAATAACAACAATCCTGACTTATAGCCCTGTAGCTACAGTCGTTCTCGAGTTATAACAAAAATACTGATTTTCCCTGAATTCTGAACAGTTTTTTCGGCTATGTTTTTGGACTTTGCATCGATTTGCATCGACTTCCGGTTGCGAATCCCTAATTTCGCTTAAGAACTTGGGTAATTTTGCGTTGTAAAAATCGCTTAAATCAAAGCTTATTTAATTAATTTTAGTCTGGAAAGAATTTCTTAAAGTAAAGAAGGCCTACCGGATCATTTTCACTTAATGTTTAGGGGACCGAATTCCACGGAAACCCTATGAAAAATGGAAAATAAAGTTTGTTTTCGCTATAACTCGAGAACGACTGTAGCTACAGGGCTATAAGTCAGGATTGTTGTTATTTAGGGTCTGATACACCTCTGGTCCAAATTTGGGGCCGATTGGATGTAACACGGCGAAATGCCAGATGGTTCGTTTTTTTTGGGACACCCTGTATATAATTTGGTCGCGTATCTTTGTGTGTGTGTGTGGATGTCAGTTTCGAGGCTTGATTTGAGGGCCTTCCGTGTCCCAAAATGCCCTAATTCTCCGTCACCCGGGGGAATCGACCCTCCTCTTTCCGATGGCGTTTTCAGAATCCCGATAAAATACAAGTTTACAAAGTTAAAGCCGGTTTTATTGATTTTTGGGGGTTCGGGCAGGCTAATTTGCATAATGTGAAAATATACAAATTTCCTCATTCATGCCAGTTGCACTCGCCCGTATGGTCGGCAGGGGGGTCCGAAGGACCGGTGATCGGAAAGTCAAATTTATCATGCAAAAACCGCATTCCAGCGCCCAAGGCCCGCGAAGCGGGTTTTGGGCGCTGGTTAATGCAATAAAAAATCGCTAATAGGTCAGCTTATGAGCCTGGAGCTTACCAATGAAACCTACGTCTTTTCCCAAGCAGCCCCCACCCGGTAATCTCCAGAGTCAAATTCCTGTGATGCCAAGCTGGGAAGCGGTCCGGGATGTGAATCGGGATACGGCGCATTGAGTAGCCCACCGATTCGGTGAGCTAAAAGGTGAGTTGATTTGATATTTACGAGAATTAACGCGTTAATGGCCAATCATACCTGTAGTAATGCAATATCATTATCGCAGCCCGGTGTCCCGAGGTGGCGGTAGAAGTTGGGGTGTAGATGGATGCGCTCCACTTGGACTATGGCCTAATAGATTTTTTCATATTTTTGGCAGTTTTGTTAGAGATATTTAAACTTCCTAATTGGCATTTATTTAAGGCGCAAACGTTTGATGAACTTTATTTTTTGATTTCCAACCACGTCATCGTCAGGAGATCCACGCGCTGTCATGTGATCAGCGCCGGCAAAAACCCAGAATTGCGATGGCGCATAACTAAACTTGATCCGTATATTTTTAATTTCCTTACGATTATTTGAAAGCAAGCAATTCATAGGAATCGGAAAGATCAAAGAATCAAAAATTACAAAACTAACGCTCGCCGGGTAAAATTTTCACCAGCGACGCAATGGCCGGCCGTCAGGATCCATTTTTCCATCATGATTGAGCCCATGCAGACGTGTATCCAGTCTCTTAATATCAGGCTCATCAATTCATTTTTTTACTTCTAAGCCCGATTTAATGCTGACGCGCTCCTAAATAATATCTCGTAACTTTATAAATACTGTTCAAAAGCGTACCCGTCAACTTTCCGTCGTATAGCCACTGAAAATGCATAGGTATTCACGCTGACTCCTTTGCCGCCGACGATGGAATTTATTTGGAAATTTTTAGGAAATATGAATTTTGCTTACCTCCACCAAAATTCCATATTTTAGCGCTAAAAATATATAAACTAGGGAGCCAGGGCGGCATTTGAAAAATGAGGGCAAATATTTTCAGATTTAATAAAGGTTTATTGGACATGAATATTTCATAGAATTCTCTCTGTTAGACGGTATTTAATAAAAACAATAACTACAAAAATGTAAAGATAGACGCTCGGAGCTAAAGAGCTGAAAGAGCTGTTTGGAATCGTGAGTTTGTGCCGGATAACGTGATATTGCTGGGTAGGCATCCGAGTCAAAAAGTTTTGGCAATGTAAAAACCTAAATTCGTTTCGTTGTAGTAGAACTTATTGTGTCGGCATTATTTTTGCCTTGATAATTGTTCGTTTTTGATGTTGTTCTGTTCATAATTAATAAACGTTTCCGCGTATGAAAATTGCATAACAGCAGAATTCTTTTTCTTAATTCTTTTGAACAAAAATTGTCGCCTTGAGCAATCAACAACAAATTTATTTCAATTTCACATCCTTCCGATTGTAACGCATACCCGCATGCCAATTGTCTGCTGGAGCCAGGCGCAGTGGACGGCCGTCTCCACGCCATAGGCTAGGTTTAGTATGTTTACTATAGGAAAGTACACTCAGTAAAAAAACTATAAAGGCAGTCGTTTTTTTCGATTTTTCGAGCGGCTTTGAAGCTATCGGTCTGAAACTTTTAGCAACGACTTTCCGGATTAAGATACACATATGTTGAAAAATTCAACACAGTCGAATATCGGGAACTATGTGTTTCGAAAATATCATCTTTATTTTTTGTCAAATAACTATAAAGGCAGTAGAGAAAAACAACGATAAAAAAATCAACGAATTGTTTCAATACTTTCTAGTAGTGGGTCGGACCTCCTTGATTTTTCGTTAACTCGAAAAGACGATTGGGCACGGACGCAACCAAATTCGACAGCTTCTGAGGGTCGAGGCGACTCCATGCGGCCTTGATCGCGGTTTTCAGGTCTTTGACGCTTGCGTACTTCTTGGAATTGCCATAGACGTCACGGACAAGGCTTCCCCAGACATTCTCCATCACGTTTATATCAGGGCTACACGGGGGCCACTCCAATACATCGATATTATGCCTCATCAGCCAGTTTTTCGTGGAATGACTCGCATGAATGCTGGCGTTGTCGTGTTGAAAAATCAGGCCAGGGATGTGCTTATTGCGTATGTATGGCAGCAATTGTCTTTGCAGCACTCCCTGATATTCAGCCGAATCCATGCGCGAAGTGGTAAACTCCAGGCCGACTGTTTCATCCGATCGGATCGCGGCCCAACACATCACTGTCCCTCCACCAAAGTTGCGCTTGCTGAAGAGGAGGGGATCCGTACGCAGATCGTGCCAATATCCTGTGTAGCCATCTGGCCCGTCGAGATTCCACTTTTTTTCGTCAGACCAAATTATCTAAACCTTTACTAGAGGAATTTTAATTTTTTTATTACCAATTGCCAATCCGTCGTTAGATGTCGCTGTGCAAAGTCGAGTCGTTTCGCTTTGTGTTCGACAGTTAGCCGTGGAGCTTTTTTCATTTGTTCTCTCTTTATTATAGGTGAACGCAGTATCACATTGTAGACAGTTTGTCGAGTGACTTTCAGGTTCAGGTCTTTTCTAACTGTCTCCAAAGACGTCTGTTTGTTCGCGAGGTGGCGTCCAATCGCCCGTTCGGTCCTCTCGGAAAGTTTCTTTGGGGCACCACCGGCGTGCTTCGCATTGTACGTTGCTCGTGTCCGGACGTAGGTGTCGATTGCGGTGGGAGAACGGCCGTTACCGATTTCCTTTGCGACCTGTCGATTACTTTTGCCTTGCGCTTTCAGGATATCGACTTGTCCTTGTTCGATGGCGTTCAAGCGTTTACCGCGAGGCATGCTGTTCTAAAAACTAACATTAATACCTCTACTAGAACTATAATGCAGAAAAGAAAACAAGTATCCACAGGAAATTAACAAAAGGTTCGGAAAAAGCAGTGCCTTTATAGTTTTTTGACAAAAAATAAATCGGATTTTTCAAAAACGCCTAGTTGCCGCCAACCGACAGTATTGATTTTTTTACCACATCTGTATCGTAATCTAAAAACCTGTTTCTGCAAGTTTCAAACCGATGTGTGCAAAAACCTGAGAAAAACTTGAAATAAACCGCTGCCTTTATAGTTTTTTTACTGAGTGTAGTAAGATCTTACCAATCGGGTAGATCGAATAATCACAGCTAGAGATTGCTCCGGTATGCACAGCCAGCTGCAACCAGGCACCGTGGTATTTAGTGGCCACTGGAGCACCCGAATCGCCCTGGAACGAGGCATACTAGTAGGGGTCGTAAGTCTTGGGTCGGAGGCAAAGCCTACGCCTCAGTTTAAACCTAAGCCTAAGCCTTAGCCTATGCTTAAGCCGATGCCTGTGCATATTTGTCGCATTGTTCAATTTTTTATGCCCACATCACATGGACCGACATGTCTCGGCCCTCGATAGCAAATGACCGGGCTCGTCACAGAATAAACCCGATTACAGTCTTGAAATGGGCGCCATTTTGCAGGGTACATGCGCAGATCGACGCTAGGCGGTCCTGAAAAACAACTAATCAGTCAGCTTTTAAACCGGAAGTCTATAGATTGAACCTACGCCTTTTCCCAAGACGTCCCCACCCAGTGATCTCAAGAGTCAAATTCCTGTCACGCCAAGCTGGGAAGCGATCCGGGATGTGGATCGGTATCCGGCGCATCGAGTAACCTACCGGTCCGCTGAGCTAAAAGGGTGACAGTGGCTCGATATTGATAAGAATAAACGCGTTAATGGCAGTAGCGGAATTACCGCCATAACGCCTAATTTTATAATACATATTCCTTTAACATTCGGGATTATGAAAATTCGAGATTATAAAAATTCGGAATTATGAAAATATAAAACCTTAAGCAACGCAATATCATTATCGCAATCAGGCGTCCCGAGGTGGCGGTAGAAGCCGGGGTGCAGATGGATGTGCTCCACTTGGACGATAACCTCAATAATTGTTGTTGCTAACGTAGGAAATTCATCAAGGCATCGAAACTCGTTAACCCGGAATTTGAGTTTCCCAAGAACGTAGTTTTTACTAAAATTTTAGGTAGGAGTTCACTTTTGTATCCCCCGCCAATCCAAGGGTCTCAAATCCTCGAAAATTTCGTTTTTAGGATGTTTTCAAAGCCGTTCGATAAAAGGTCCTAAAATATATTAGCATTTTTAATTTCAGCCCAAAATGATGTAAAATAAAAAAGTTATAGCAACGATCGTCCGGTTCAGGGGCGGGGGGTAGAGTAAACCGCAGCCAAATTTGAATCTAATATGCCATTTAGCTTTGCCTATAATAATAGATATTGCCGATTATTGTTTTTTGTTTTGTCTATAATCGATTCGATGCCATGAGTATTTGATTTGAGTATTTTTTTGTTTTTACCACATCATCACCCGGAGATCCACGCGCTGTCATGTGATCGCCGCCGGCAAAGACCCAAAATTGCGATGGGGCGTCACTAAACGTCACCCGGATACAGCAAATTTAATGCCGGTTAATTTTATAGCACTCGAAAAGTTCCTCGAAACGAAAATTAAAAAACTAACGCTCGTCGATGAAAATTTTCACTAGCAATGCAGTGTCCGGCCGTCAGGATCCATTCTTCCATCATGATCGAGCCCATGCAGACGTGTTCCCAGTCTCTTAAAACCGGGTTTGTAAATACGTACTTCTGTATTTTTATATTTTTAGACATTTAATCTAAGCTTATGGGCAGCTAAATTGCATCTCGTAATTTATAAATGCGATTCAAAGCGTACCTCCCAACCTTGCGTCGTATAGCCACGGAAAATGCATATCTCTCAACGCTGACCCCTCGGCCGCCCACGATGGAATTTAATAGGAGATTTTCATAAAATAGATATGTTGCAAACCTCCACTAAAATTCCATATTTTAGCGTTAAAAATATATAAACTAGGAGCCAGGGCGGCATTTGAAAAATGAAGGCAAGTATTTTCAGATTTAATAAAGATTTTTACCCATGAATTTTTCATGGAATTCTGTCTGCTAGACGGCATCTAATAAAAACTATAAAAAGTCAAGAAAGACGCTTACGCCCTAGATAGATAACAGAGCTGTTTCCATTCGAGACATTTCCGGGCGGCGACTTTTTTGCGGAGTTGGGAAACAACCGAAAAAAACATTTTTACATGTAAAACTTACCTTCCCTGGTTTTTTGGGGCCCTTTTCGTTCGGCTTTTTTTTGTCCCCTTTTTTTTTTTTTCGTTTCTGCGTATGTAAAATGAATAAAATCATTGTCGTGACATGGTTTTCACCGAAAAAACCATAATAATTGAATGGAATGCATGAATAAATAAATTAGCCAAAGGGCTTGTTTCGACTCGAGTGGGTGTCCCAAGCAACGTAAAGTTTTACCCTGATTTCATACATCACATCTGGTATCTTTATTTAGCAGATGTCTTCTAAAATAGACTGAATAAACACATGCACTACGCTCCAACAAATTTATTCTTTCACTTTTTTCCCAGTGAGATGCACATCGGTTCGCCAATCGTATCTTCGATAAAGCCGCAGTTCTGGCTGGCGTCCATACCAATGGCTACACTAGGGAAAATCGTCATATTAACGACTCATAACAAGGTGTTACCATGCGACCAGAGTGAATAATCACAATTGGGCCTTCCGATAATATGCACACCCACTTGCACCCACTGGGCGTTCCATCGAGTGGCGACGGCCGCGCCGGAATCGCCCTGCAAGGGTGGTTAGGTTAGCCTTAGGCTTAGGCTTAGGCTTAGGCTTAGGCGTTTGTACGAAGTTGTTTATTGTTTTTCTAGGCGATCGACTCTATTTTAGTATTTGAATAAACGGTAGCACCGTAAATTGCACACAAGCTGCCGGACGAGATTGGTGTATAAAGGCTCACGAAAATACATAAATTACACTCAGAAGCGTGCTGCCTGGATTATACGACACACCAGACATGGGCCAACGTTTGTTGGCCCCTCATAGCAAATGCCCGTGACATTCTTTGCCAAGTTAAAGAAACAAGCTCTAAATGGAAGGTCCTTGGCCTGGTACATGCGCAAATCCTCGCTGACGAGCTCTGAAAAAAATCATGTCTTTATCGGATTTTTTATATTTAAATAAGTGTCTTTTATAACGGGATCATTGACTACTTTTTATTGCAAAAAACGTCAGACACATGGCCGAAGCTGACCATATTTGGGCAACTCAGGCAAAATTGGCATGCTAATTACGAAAAAATGCACATGTTGGAGAAAGTCGTACACTCACTATTATGGGCTAGTTGTCCCCAGCCGGCAATATCGAGGGTTAGACCGGGGTGGCCCCAGCCGGGGAAGTAGTCGGGGATGCGAATTTTTTGCCGGCGCATCGTGAATTCAAGCGACCTGCTGAGCTTAAAAAGGTACGTATAAAATTCGCTATCGGCATGCGCGCAATTCGATAGAGCATCAAGCACGATTGTCAAGGTCTTAATGAGACCCCTCAGGGAATATACCTTCAGCAATGCGATATCGTTAACGCTGCCCTGGCCCTTTGGTTCGCGGTAGAAGCCGGGGTGCAGGTGGATGCTGGCCACTTGGATTATTGCCTAAAGGAATACTCGAATTTCGGTTGAAGTTTTTGCTAAATGAATAGCCCTTAACTGTTGAATTTGGGTCGCTTTCAACATTTAAAACGATGAAGTTCAACATTCTTGTGGCCAAGTCGAAAGGGATAAGGACGGCATCATTTGTTTCACCCCCTTGAGACGTCGACTTAAATTTTTTTGACAAATAGCCAACAGGGCAGAGAACGGGCCCAGGGGCGAGACGCAGAGCCATTTTCTTTCCCACGCGTCACCGATTACCGATGCCGTCGTTATCCCTTTGATGCCTTTTTGCTGATCATGCTATTTCTACAACTTGGTGCCTTGGCTGTTGATCAGACGGAGAATATTTTTTGGAGACACTCGGTATTTGTAGAAACCGTGTTTTACCACATCGTCATCCGGCGATCCATAAGGTGTCATGAGATCGGCGCCGGCGAAAATCCAGAACCTTCTTGCTGGCAGACTGAAATCCCATCAACCATCCTTCGAAAATCACATATGCATTATTTGCATAGGAGTTATCATAGAAGATCTCGCCGCGTTACCGCAAATGAATATCTTTGAACGGTTTTCCTTCCGGATCGTTTGAAAGAAAGTTTTAGTGTTTTTCGCATAGGTCGTTTCCCAGCCAGATGGTTTCGGCCAGATCTATCATAAACTACCCGCAACCGAAAACTAACGCCTTTCGGGTCCTATTTGGATTTGACACGCAATGTGCGGCCGTCAGGATCCAGTCTTCATTCATTATTGAGCCCATACACACATGTGTCCAGTAGCTGAAAGGGCTAAGATTGCTGCTTAGGCTTAGGCATAGATTAGGGTTAGACCTAAGCGTAGCCTTGGGCTTAGGCTTAGGCATAGATTAGGCTTCGGTTTAAGCTTAAGCTTAGGTTTACGCTTAGACTGTTAGTTATAGACTTCTTCTCTTCTCTTCAAAGTATTTTTAATTTTATTTACGCCACGTCTAATCGGATTCCCTTCCAAACAAAAACCTACTGCCCGGTACTGCGTCGTATAGCTACGGCAAATGCATATCTCTCAACGCTGACGCCTTTGCCACCGACGATTGAATTTAATTGGAAACGTTACCAAACAGTAAATGCATACCTCGACTACAACAACATATTGTGGCGCTAAAAATGTAAAAAATAGGAGCAAGGGCGGCATTTGAAATAATGATGGCAAGATTTTATGGATTTAATAACGCTTTTTGGCATGAATATTTCATAGAATTGTGTCTGCTAGACGGAATTTAATAAAAACTATGGAAAATATAAAGATAGACACGACGAGCTGAAAGAGCGGTTCGGAATCGAGAATTTGTACCGAGTAACGTAAAGTTGTGCCAAGGTAGCCTTCTCAATATGCTTTCAGATTCAGATTTTAAACATTTTTCATCCGTGCTAGTTTCAACTTTGCACATCTTATTAGCTAATGTATTGCATAAACACTTGCGATTTGCCCTAATAAAATTTATTATTTCACATCCTTCACAGCGTGATGCACACCGGCTTGCCAATCGTCTGCTCGTAGAAGGCACAGTTTTCGGTGACGTTCACCCCGAAAGCTAGGTTAAAAAATTATATGGTAAGCGTCAAAAGGTGTTACCATGGGTGCGGGATGAATAATCACAGAGAGTCTCCCCTCTGGTGTGCACGCCCAGTTGCAGCCAACGGCCGTGGTATTGTGTAGCCACTGCCGAGCCGGAATCTCCCTGAAGTGGTAACCTATGCTCAGGCTTAGTTTAGGCTTAGCTTAGGCTTAGCTTATGCTTAGCTTAGGCATAGGCTTGAGGCTTAGGTCAGGCTTAGGCTTTAGCTTTGGCTTAGGGCTAGTATTCTGAGGCTTAGGCTTAGGCTTCGACCTAGGCATAGACTTGTTAGGCTTAGGTCCAGGCGAAGGCTTGAGTGGACCTCGCTTGGACCTAGGCTTAGACTTAGGCTTGGCTCAGGCTGTATTTTCAAGTCTCACCCGACATGGGCCGACGTCTTGCGGACCCGAATAGCCAATGGTCCAAGTATCTTCAGGGTTGTAGGTTCGAATTTTGCGCACTCTGGCCTTGTACATGCGCAGATCGACGCTCGGCGGCTCTGGAAAGTAATAGGTAATCCAGGGATTGCAATAAATAGAGGTTTAAATATCGTTGCTAGACAAAAACTCACGATCTATTCCCAGTTTTCCCCAGCCGGTAATCTCGAGCGTCAAATTCTTGTTTCGCCAAGCAGGGAAATTGGCCGGGATTTGAATCGGAAGCCTGCGCGTCGAGTAGCTGAGTTTAGTGCTGAGCTTAAAAGTATGGTATAATTGTAAAAAATTTAAATAATTTCTAATGGTTAATCAATGTTTTTCAGGAGATTAATATACCTTTAGTAGCGCGATATCGTTGTCCAATGTTTTGGTTGCCACGTCGCGATAGAAATCGGGGTGTAGATGGATGCTCCCCAAGCGGATTATTGCCTAAAAAATTGCTAACTGCAAGGCTGGAAAACAGCTGAATTTTCAAACGTACTCAACGTATCCAACGAATTTTTAGCAAATGTTTGAATAGCCAAGAAAAGCTTGATTTGATTGAAGTGCTTTAGCTGCCGTTTTTTAAAAAAATCTTCTACCACATCGTCATCAGGTGATCCATCAGATGTCATGTGATCAGCGCCGGCAAAAATCCAAAAAGTCTTTGGGGAGAGCCTGAAATTCGATTACGATGCCTTAAGTCCCATTTTGAAATTTTTAGAGATTCTGGCGATTCTGGAATTATGTCTACCATAACTGTCCACCAAAGGAAGGTTATATAAATTAATTTCCGCCTTCGAAAAAAATGTGTGTCCTGAGCCTAAGCCTATGTCCAAGCCTAGCTTTAACCTGTAATTGTAGGAAAGCGATAAAATTCATTGAATTCAAACTCACGCTTCGCGAGGAGCATATTTATTAGACACGCAATGGCCGGCCGTCAAGATCCATTCTTTGTTCATTATCGAGCCCATGCACGCATGTTTCCAGTTGCTAAAGGAAACATGACGAGAAAAACACGGTTCATCTCCAAAAACCTACCTCCCATTTTTCCGTCGTAGCGCCACTGAAAATGTATACCTCTCGACGCTTGCCCCTTGGCCGCCCACGATGGAATTTATTTTGAAATTTTTACCAGGCCCAACTTTTTCATACCTCCACTAAAACGTTGTATACTAGCGCTAAAAATACAGAAAGCAGCAGCCGGGGCGGCATTTTAAATAATGATGGCAACGGTTTTCAGATGCAATAAACTTTTTTGCACATGAATATTTCATGGAATTCTGTTTTATTGACTTTTTGCCTGATTGTTAATAAAAAAGTATAAAAAATGTGAGGAGAGACGCTGATGGCTGCAAGAGCTAAAAGAGTCGTTCGGAACCGCGAGTTTGTACCGAAAAACGGGAAGTTTTGCCGAGGTATCACCTCTCCATGCATATTAAGAAGCTTAAACCAGGTTTTTTTCAGGTTTCAAAAACTATTTTCAAGTTCGCATATATTTAATAAACAAATGCGGTATGCACCAACAAATTTATTATTTCACAATCTTCACAGCGTGATGCACACCGGCGTGCCAATCGTCTGCTCGTAGAAGGCACAGTTTTGGGTGGCGTCGACGCCGAAGGCTAATTAAGGAAAATCGGCATAAAAAGGTCTCATAATAAACCGATACCAGTTGTATGGACCGAATAGTCACAGTCGAACCGTCCTCTTGTATACACACCCAGTTGCAACCACCGGCCGTGGTATTGTGTAGCTACTGCCGCGCCGGAATCGCCCTGAAACCGGCGAGGTGAGGGGCAAAATTTGAACGTAACAATGGGCTTTTCGGAAATGCGAGCTCGCTTGCCTGGTGTAGAATTTCGCGCTGATCCCAAATACGTTTATTTTGTCGCCAAACAGCCTGAATTGACAATTTATAGCGAGTTTAAGATATTTTTCCGAAATTCTCGAGGTTTAAAGTAAGCTATCTTTAAAGGGCACGAGATCTTTTCAGCAAGGTCGAAAACAGCACCTTATGAAGCTTATGAGCTACCTTTCAACCGGGTTTTCAGGGTTTTCCGACTCACCTCGCAAGGACCGACGTTTCTCTTCCCGGAAATGCAAATGGCCGGGCTGGTCAGCGGGTAAGTAGGGATACATGTTTGAATGGGGCGCCCTATGGCATAGTACATGCGCAGATCCTGGCTCGGGGGCTCTGAAAGAAACGAAAGGAGTAAGAACTACTGATCAAACTACCAAATTACCAAACCAGTACCAAAATAACGTTTGTAAATAACAACTCACTATTTCTACCAAGTCGTCCCCAGCCGGCAATCTCGAGTGTAAGATTGGGGTGGTGCCAGGCGGGGAAACGGTGCGGGACGTGAATCTGTAGTCGGCGCGTCGTGAAGTTAAGTGGATTGGTAAGCTCAAGAAGTAGGATTGACTCTATGTCAGCATTTTCGACTTTCAATTTTCCGATAGGCCTAGGACTAGGCGCTTTTCTACCGAAGCTCAGCTAGGTGAGGCCTGGGTCGAAGCTTAAGCGAATCCTAAGCATAAGTCCAAGAACACGAGAGTTTGCCTTTAATTTCAATACCGAATACCTTCAGCAACGCGATATCATTTTCGCAACCCCTTCCATCTGGATGGCGATAGAAGTCGGGATGCAGATTGATGCTGGCCACCTGGATTATTGCCTAAAGGAATACTTGGTTTCTATTCAGCTTGTTTCTTTTCTTTGTCTATTAGTAGCGAAATGTCTGGCTTAAAATTTTATCCTCCAAACCAACGTTTAAACTTTATAAACTTCTATAAAAAAACCTTTTACCACATCAGTATCCGGTGTTCCAATAGGTGTCAGGTGCTCGGCGCCGGCGAAATACCCAGAACAGACCCGGGGAGAGCCTGAAATTCGGTGACGTTACCGTCATTCGGATTTATAGAATTCTGACAAACAAAGGCCAATTTCAATGTAGTTTGAAGTCTGGATAAAAATATATTTTTCGATTGAAAATAGTTTTTGCGTTAAAGCAAAGTTCTTGTAGAAACATCGTTAAATGAAAACCCACGGTTCCCGGGTCGCATTCTCACTTGATACAGCTATGGCCAGCCGTTGAGGATCCAATGTTCGTTCATTATCGAGCCCATAGCACGTTGTGTTGCCAGTAGCTTAAAGGGGCTCGAGGTTACGGTATCTAGTCTAACGTGGAGTCTGTTTAGTCGTCTTTTAGGCTGTTTTGAGCTTTGCGAGTGCCAAATTGCTCAAGTTGCTGCACCTCAAAATTCTGAGCCTATCCGATCTTTCAAAAATTACTGAACTACCACGGCTTGGGAAAATTTTCCTGGAAGGGCCGATTTTGCCCCATTTGTGAACGCTTATAACTTTTGTAGCTTGTAAACCGTAAAGTTAAAGAAATGTAAACATTGTA